TCATGTCTATAATGCAACTTTAGCTATTAACATCTTAACTTAACAATCTAATTTGAAACATGCATTCTATAACGGAAACTAACATCAAATTCATAAGAAACTAAGCCCCTGTTTGTCTCCCTTTAACATAAAACTCTTTAATTCTATTCATTTTCAATCACGTTTATACAATAAAATATTTTGCATATAAACCTAATAGTTTTCCCACTTTTTAACCACATGTTTCTCAAAAAATCACTATTTTTTCAAAATAATGGCCATCAAACATGGGCAAATATGCAAATGCGCCTAAATAATTAAATTTCAAAAGAGCCAAATTCTTGGACATATTTCAAGTATCTAATGACACTAAAAATCATATTCAAATCAAAGTATTAATTTCCAAGCACATCCCTCGTAAAATTCCAAGCAACTTCCATACAGGAACTCAATTCTTGAGACAATAAATCACATTGAAATATATACTCTAATTTCAAAGCAAACCTACCACCTATTAGAGGCAAAAATACAACTTCCTTAAAAAACCAAATTTCTAAACCCAAAACCTTAGTTATTGGAACAATGGAAAATTATCATACCTTTTGTTAAAAGCAAGGAGAAAATCGAGCGAATTTCTTGTTGGAGTTGCTTTTAGGTACAAGCTTCTTGAACTTTTTTGATTATTTTGTATACTATGAAAGAAAAATTGAACACTATTGTTGGAGAAAGAGAGCAGAGAATGAGGAAGAAAATAGTTCATAAAACTACTGTGGGGGTTGGGTGGATTACCATTCGTGGAAGGAAGAGAGTACGAGGAAGATGAAGTGGAAATGAGGAGGAAGTAGGTGTGCATTTCAAATGATGGGGTGGAGTGTGTTTGGAACGATATTTTCAATTTTTTGGTCCAAGTTTTTCAACATATCAAGTCCAATCTCATGTAGGACATGTAGGGTATTTTTTTTTTTTAGTATAAAAATTCAAAAGTGACAAATGGAAACAAAATTAGTGAAAGTTGACATTTTTATAGATGAATTAGTGGATTTTGACATGTGGTGAAATTTCCTCGATATAAAAATGCATTAACACTAGCCTTCTTTGCTCTATAATTTTCCTCATCGCTGTCAAGATTTTCGCTAAGAACATATCCTTTATAAAGATAGAAAGGTAATAGGCATTTTTCTGATGGTGCGTCCAGTAACCAACTGAAGTTTTGATGTCTATAGACAGAATGACATGACCATGCTACGTCTTTCATTAGCACAAAAGCATGATTGAGTACTACTTACTCAAATACAAAGGAAATATATGATTTTTCATCGTATTGACCAGTGCGATTATGCCACTTTTGAATCTGGAATGCAAAGAGATCGATCTGGGATGATGATCTCTAATTCCTTCTCTCAAGCTATCGCACCTCAAAGTTTCTTCTCCATAGAGTGCTTGAAAGATTCGTCTCCAAGATTAATGGCTTGGAAAAGGTAAACTCATTTTTCTTTCCTAGTTCTGTTTTTTGTGGCCTGTCAATGTTCTTTTGGGCGCTATCAATGATAGTGGTGACCATTGAAAAGTGCAATTCCTAATTGTACAAAGCTTTCAAATGACATGGAAAAATAGTACTGCAACACTAGGGTTCTATTGAGCATGGCCTATTTTTCATAGAGGTGAGTGAGGCCTGAGCAGGCCCAACATTAGAGGGATTTCATTCTTTCTTTTTCTTTTTTTTTTTCCTTTTTTTTTTTTTTTTTTTTTTTTTTTTTTTTTTTTTTTTTTTTTTTTTTTGTAAATTAGATTCACTATGATTTTTTATTAAAACTTTGGTAAATTAGATCCATTTCATTCCATTTATAAATAAGTTCCAATAATGTTTTTAATTGTGGGAATTTTATTTCTAAATTAGGTCCATTTCGAATACAGCAAAAGAGGACACGAGGCATAGGATTTTTCAAACTCATGTTGCAATGATTTCTTAATTCTACTTAACTTGTTCATCACATAGTTAGTATTTGATTTATTTGTTTAAAATAAGAGATGTTTTATTAGACTTGGCAAAAATTATATGAGAAGTATCAGGAACATAATGGACGTTTGGATATTAATGAAGATGATTTATGTTCTGATTTACATGTTTTCAGGTACTATATACTAAGTGAAGCAACAAAAATAATTGAAGTGCTACAATATTTGAATACATCTCAAATACTTATATTACTTTCAAAAACCACATCTTACCTCTGATCAATTATATCACAAGAAAGATTGGAATGATTGACTATGTTATCAATTGAGAAAGAAATGATTGAACAGGTAGATCATTCAAATTTCAATAATGTTTTTTTCTCTGAAATTGTAAGACGAATAGTCTCTAACTGGTTGTTTGAAGCATTGTTGGCTTTATTATTTGATTATAATATAAATCATTTGTATAATACATTTTATTTGTAGTTTTATTGTTAAGTTTTAAATTAACAAGTTAACTATTGACTCAATAATACACTTATAGATTTTGCATACACTTATAGATTTTGCATGCATAATTAAAATTTTGCAGCCTAATTTATGATATTCGGCTCAGGCCTCGAAAATCATAGAATCGGCACTGCTACTGAGCAGAGAAAATTCCTACAACTAAAATGTTCCCAGTAGCCAAAAAAGCGCAAAAGAAAAAAAAAGGTCTAACAATTATGACGAAAGCGTAGATGAAGATGTTCCCTGAACTAAACATTCCTTGGTTTGTTGCAAAGAGAGCCATATAGCTAATGCATAGAAGAAAAAACTGACTCCTCTCTAAGAACGGTTTTGCAAATAAAATAAGCACAATAAATTTAATTTCTAGTATAATTCATTTTCCATTTAGTATGTAGTAGATAGCCTAATTCTCTAGCTTTATTATTTTGCCTAGAAAGTAAGATTTCTAATTATTTTAGAATAATATTATTCATAATCAAATACTGTAGTAGTCATATTATTTGAAAGTTTGTTATTTATGATATTGATTTTCTATAATTTTGTAGTCGCAAATAACAAGTTAGTGTACCAAATAATAATTTATCACATAAGGATGAATGCTACAGTCACTAATTATGAATATCATTGCTATTTATTTTATGGTAGCCAAATCCAATTTTTCATTATTTATGGACCGAAAATACTTCTTCCCCATAATTGGCTGTGGTTTACTGTGCGTAAAGATCGACTTCTGTAGCGATCGAGAAAAAATATATATCTTGTGTCATTTTAAAATAAAATTTTCTTGTAGAGCTCGAAAATAATTTAAATTATATTTATTATGCCGCTACATCCTTCCTAAGAGTTCAAATTAAAATTTTCGTCACGATGGTAAAGTTTCGCATACTTGTTTTTAAAAAACTTTTGTAAGATATCAAATTCCTCTTAAACAACGAATTTTTTTTATTTTGACTATGTTATGTAATTGTGACGACACATTAAAAAAAAAAAAAAAGATTGAACCCCAACCTTAAGGGTCCCCCACCGCCCCTGCCCTGGAGTATCGTGAGGGAGGTAAATCGCAGGTTATGCCTCCAAAAGTACAGGGTGGAAGGCTGATTGTACACTTGCACTTACCCTAGAGCCAAATCCATATTTCAGGATTCGAACCCTTAATGCGGCAGCCTCAAGTAAAGCTGGATTTCTCCACCCTCCCCTTTTACCACTTGGAGATGTGCCCTGGGGGGCACTTTATATTAATTATTGCTTATATGTTAAGTGCTTAAATTTCGAAAAAAAAAAAGAAAAAAAAAAAGATAAATCGATTATATTCTACCAAACAATCCCAATTTCATTCCATTACATTTTTCTCACTCACGGTTTTTCTCCACTAATGCATCTCCATTTTTTATTTTTATTTTTATCCCTCAACCTAGTTTTTCATTTCCTCCACTAGACTTGCCATTTGAATCACACTAATGCCATAATCATCCAAATCAATTATGTTAATTATAAACAAAGAAAAAAACTGCTGCCATTTATTTGGAAAAATATTTGCACGCACTAAACAAAAAAGTGTTTTCACAACATATAAATGGCAACATTCATTAATTAAATATTGCTAAAAGGGCCTATTGCATTAGTAAGTGAATGTTGCCATTGGTGTTAATAATTGAGATTTGACAACATTTTTTTAAGTGAATATTGCTAATGTTCTCGTTTTGCAACGTTTATTTGATGTTGCTACAATTTTATTTTTGCAACGTTTACCAAACGTTGACTTGTCAAAGGCCCTTTCACAACGTTTGATCAACATTGCAAAAAGTTTATCTTTTGCAACATTTCTCAAACATTGCAAAAGAGAAACCTTTTTGCAACAATTGATAAACGTTGCAAAAAGTGTATCTACCACAACATTTATCAAACGTTGCGAAAAGTTGTAATCTTTTGTGACATTTAATAAACATTGCAGAAAGTTAAACATTAAGGTAGGTCGTGTTTTGGTTAAGAAGGCGGGTTGGGTTGATTCAAGACCCGACCTGAACCGCACCTGCATAGTTTGAAAGAAAAAAAGGATTGAAATCAAATGTGAATACAATTAAATTCGGGTTAATAGCACAAAACATTCTTACGTTTGACACTTCTTGTGGAAAACGTCCCCACGTTTCTTTTTTTTTTCTTTTTTTCTTTTTTTTGCATTTTCGTCCTTATTTTAACGTTTCACTGCAGAAAACGTCATTTTCACCATTTTTAATGTAAAATGACTAAAATATCCTCCTATTTAAATAAAATCAAAAAAGAGAAAAGAAAATTAAAAAATAAATTACAATTATACTCCTAAATGTTTTAAATAGTGCAAATGAGACTAAATAATTATTAAACGTCCCTATGTTTGACACTTGTTGCGGAAAATGGTGGAAATGACGTTTTCTACCATGAAACATTGAAATAAGGACGAAAATGAAAAAAAAAAAAAAAATGAAGACGTTTTCCACAAAAAGCATCAAACGTAGGGACGTTTTGTGCTTTTAACCCATTAAATTCCAATTACACAACCCTTATAATTCTCCCTCTCTCTCTCCCCTGCCGTCGTCTCTCTTCTTCTCTCTCTCGCCGTTGTCTCTCTTCCGTTCAAGAACCTAAAAGTAAGGCACTTTGGTGATTTTCAAGGTAGCTGAAGGCTATATAAAGGGAAAAAATTTGGTTAAGAGAAAACCAGTCTTTATACAGCAACATAGTACTCTTCTATGGAAGAAAACACAATACAAAGCATGAGTTTAAATCAAATTCAAGTTTGAAGGAGGATTTCTTAAGGTAAAATTTATTTTTCTTCAATGCAAGAAGTAAATCAAAAATTCGATTTTTCTTTGATTATATCATTTACTAATTTCGTTTTTAAGGTGAATGATGAAAGGTAGTAATATACTTTTTGCTATTTGTTGGTATTTAATTGAATTTTTTCAGACTAAATGCCTTAATTAAGGAATAATTTTAATTTACATTCAAATAATGAGTTGACTTAATTATGTAGAACTGATTATATTGGAGAGAGGTTATCAATTAAATAAAGGGATCCAATCAAATACACGGAGTTTTGTTGTTACAAATGGATTGTTAGAATTACAGGAATAATATGATGAATTTGACAAACTTGTATTCCTTTAACTTTACCCTACAATGCAAAACCCAATCACTTTATTATACTATTTGAGAACTAAGATTTTGGTTATAGTTCTACCCTGTTCTTGTTTACTTATAGCATATTATAGATTGCTGTTTCTCAGTTTCGGAATATATCCACTTATGTAGAAGTCAAAATTACTGGTAGCTGGTGTTGTTCTTGGGTATGTTTGGGTAATTAAAGTTGCCATATTCATTAAAATGATTGTTTTTGTTTCTGTTTTTCTTTTTTTTTTTTTTTTTCAGTCCATTATGAGCCTGCCTTAGACTTTTGGTATGCAAATGAAAACACCAAACGCTCACTTATAGAATTTGCTATCTATTGTGGAGTGTCAAATAGAAAATTACAACCTTTCCATATTGATAATATCCTGTTATAGCAGTGTTTTAATATTGTGGATATTTGATTAAGCATGTAAATGTTGCTATTACAGGTATGGATCTTGATGAACAATGTGCATACCACTTTGAGTTAATTGTGGATCTTGATGAACAATGTGCATTTATTGAGGTTTTTCTAAATATCTTTATTGGCTATCATTTATTTCAACATTTTGGAAAAAATGAAGTAATGCAGTCTTTTTCATTCTCCAGTTTTTATCTTATGGACAGGGTTTTGTTTCATTACCTTGGTAATTTTAAGTGGAAAAAATACTTATATATGATCATTCTCCCCTCCCTTTCTTTGTTTCTAAACATTGTGAATGTAATAGAATGTGTTGAACATTGTGAAAAAAATTGGTCTCTCAACAACCCCTCTATCGACTTGGAGTTTCGAGTCAGGTGACAATCTGTTTCTAGTTTGGTCTTAGTTGAAGTTTATCAAACAGCATATTCCTCTATTTGAATTAAAAGGGGATAGACTGCAACTAGAGGTAGAAAGATGAAAGGGTAATATTCTAGTTCTAAAAATAAGACTAAGAAGAACTTTCTTCAAGTTATGGGGATAGGAGTTTGGACATTAAGGGGAAAAAACATGATTGGAGAGAATTTGGAGCCACAACATCGAAGAAAAATACAAATACCGATGGGATTTCAGGCAATTATTTAACCCGGTGACGTTATTTTTTCAAGTTATTATGTATTTTGTAATTTTCTCCATGCTAGGGTAGAAATTCTTATGCTATGAGATCGATGAACCTTGTAATGTGATTCTTAATTCATTCTTTCATATTTTTGACATTAAAACACGTTTGATTATTTTGAATGATTTATATACATTTAATTTCTTTCGCAATTAAGGGCCCGTAATTGTGTGAGTTTTGGTAACTTATTTCTTGCATTCGAGAGAAGGGAAATACGTTCAACAAGGTATAAATCATCGTAGGGTCTGATAGGGGATAAATATATACCGCTATACTCTGCGTGAATCTTTAAGTGCTCACAAAACTACATGAATTCTTGTATATTTGCACCCGTCATAGAGATATAGGCTGGTGGTATATGAGAGTAGGTTCAACTTTGCTCGAGAGAAACTGTTGGATAGATTTAGGAGCATTGGTCCTTCATAATTTCAACGTATTGTCAAATTATAGAACTAGGGTTGAATTAAGCATTGCTTGGGAATTCGTGATCCCAGTACATTATTCAATCTCTGAATACATTACATTGAGTTCTCAACATTTAATAGCATTTTAGTTCATTTAAACATCAATTTTCATTTTGTTCATTGCCTGCATAATTAGCTTAGGTTAGGGAGTAATTATATTATAAAATCACTTGTCAAAATTTAGTTTCGGTTAAGGTCTAGAATAAATAACATTTAACTAACTCAATCTCAGTGGGCGATATTCGGAACTTTAAATTCCACTATATTACTTGTCACGAACCGTACACTTGCGATAGTTTTAAATCGAAATAAATAATTTCGTGAACACTAGACCAGGCTGACTTATTGGTGGAATATTTGAAGTTCTATGAGAAACATCCAATGCCATGGAGAATTATCCGTTCTCATGTGCACAAGTTGGTGGTACATGTTTTAATTTTATTTTGGAAAATAGAATGTGTTGAATATTTTACAAGTTTCGAATTGTTGGATCAAAGAACAGATTTTCAGTACCGTAGTAAGCATATATGAAAAAGTGCGAATTAATTTTAAAAAAATATAAAAATGACCAATGACAACATTTGCAAAATGTTGCCAAAACCTAAGGATAAAATAAGATAATGTTGCAAAAACGTTGCAAAAAATTAACGGCAAAGTTGAAAAAACATTGCAGAAAAGTTGACGGCACCATTAAAAAAATATTGCAAAAAGTTCAACGGTTACGTTGAAAAAACACTACAAAAATGTTAAATTGTAAAAAAATTAACGGTAACGCTGAAAAATGTTGCAAAAACATCTTCAGCAACAATTTTTAAACGTTACAAAAAAGTCCTTTTGCAAAGGTGAATAACTTTTGTTGTATTCTACCCTCAACAGCAACATCGATCCCCACAACACATGCTAAAACGCTGCAAATGACCTTCTGCTATGTTTTTTTACTGCTGCAAAAGCCCTTTTTTTGGTATAGTGACGTTTATAACTTCTATTTCAAATGAAAACTATAACCTAAAAGTCCATGTATACACCATTAACATTTCACTACCATTGTTTTTAATCCCATTTTAGTTAATAACAATCACCATTATAATCTTGGAACTGAAAAACAAAAATCTCCTACAACCTCTTAAGCTACGTTTTCTCTCCCAAACTATTATACCTATACATAAAATTATTTTGCCCTTTTTCCATAAACACAAGGCACTTGAATTTGAAAATTTTCTAAAGAAGAGATAAAGAGTATGCTGGATTTTGTTACATATTGAGTGCAAAAGGATATACAAACTCCAAGTAGTTAAGTTAGGGATCTTTTGACACTTTTCTAAGGGGAGTAAAAAAATTTGTTGTTTTCGATTCGCATTAACGTGTTATTGTTTTACTCATGAGAGAATGGAAGCACCCTTTGGTGTTTCAACTATAAGATGAAGAGGAAACACCCTTTGGTATTTCAACTAAGAGATGAAGAGGAAGCACCCTTTGGTATTTCAACTAGAGATGAATTTTGATTCATGAAAAGGGATTGTTAAAACCTAAGAGTATGCAGACTATTTGATCTTCGGTTCGCTTTAAAATTGACGGTGACGCAAATAACCAAAGATTGCAATTTTAGAAAACATATATTTCTTATCAACTAACCTGAATTTATAGGTTAGCTGATGGGATGGCAGTGGCTTGACATGGTGGCAAGTGATCGGTGATTTGAAATGCTCTCAACTTTCTAGAAGAAAGATTTCCAGTTGTGTATACCTTTTCTGAACATTTAGATGGCACTTTTAAAATGTTTAATTTTCTGAGCCGTCTAGTTTAATATACATTTCATGTCAGCCATAATTTGAAAATACTGAAATGACTATGCATAAAGTTTATTTGTTGCTAGATTGAATTTGAGATTATGTCCTTCCATTTGGAAATGGTATAGCTTGGGCCATGGTGCATGTTTTGAAGTGAAATTAGTGGTTTCACTGGTCTATGAGTCTTCTCATGGTAGTCTTTTGGAATTACCTTAAAATATTATCTAAAGAAAAAGTTATGTCCATTTTTGTAAACTGCGTCGAGTCAGCTCCGAATTTTCTGTCCAGCATAGTCGAACAATTTTTTCATGCTTCAAACATTACCGTCGAGACCCCAATTTTTCATATGATGTAGGTATATGAATGTCATAGTCTCTGTTAAAATTTCATAATTTTTATTCAATGTTTTCCATGTCAAACATATTTTCTCTTTCCGCAGTTGCGTACTGATATTTGCTAAATTTCCTCCAACTGTTTTCCAAAATCAAATTCCACCATAATTGTCTAAAGACTATATGGACAAATATCTCGCATTTTATGGAGTAAAAGCGGGAGATTGATGGGTTAAAACAAAACTTAGCTACTCGGGCTATACCTCAAGCATCTCAAGTTTCACCAGTCTCCCATGCACTGTCGGTGCCACCAACATACTCGACAGCACTGCCTATTCCGACGGTAGAACAATCTCGTAGATATCAACCCCCTACATTTGATGGTGGAAAGGACCCACTAGCAGTTGATGAGTAGTTGCGTACTATTGAGAAGATCTTTCGGCACATCTCTTGTCCAAAAAATCAAAAAGTATTATGTGCAGAGTTTATGTTAATCGGAAGAGTAGACCATTGGTGGGAATCTGCGTCACGCATTCACACTAAGGAGGAACAACGTAGCCTAACTTGGGATCAGTTCAAAATGGAACTAATTGAAAAAGTTTTTCCATAAGCTATGTGAGACTATAAGGAGACAGAATTCTTAAGACTAGTACAGGGAGATATAGAACTTTCTGAGTATGAGAGCAAGTTCGAGAAATTATCCCGACATGCCTCATATCTTGTGAGTACTGAACTCATAAAGGCAAAACATTGTGAAAGTGGCCTACACTTGGAGATCGGGCAAATTATGAATTCAAACAATCTTACAACTTTACAGTCAGTGGTAAAGAAAGCTCAAATAATGACCTATTCAAGGTGATGTAGGTAAATCAAGGATAGCATAAGGACTTTGAAGAAGGAAGTGGCAGGATAAGAATAAGAATACGGGACAGTTTAAAAAGTAGACACATGTGGGTCAGCCAAGCAATCCTTTATCCCAATGTCTTAAGTGTAACAAGTTTCACAAAGGAGAATGTCTGTAAGGAAGGTATATCTTCTATAAGTGTGGTCAACTCGGCTATGTAGCTTCTTCGTGCCCATTGATTAAGAAAACCGGGGAAGAGAAAAAAGGAAAATCAATGGTGTTCGCTTTGACTCACGATGAGGCTGCTCAAAATTTAGACATGATCCCAACTATTTTATCTGTCGCTAGTATTTCTGTTTACGTCCTGATTGATTCCGGTATAACACATTCATTCATATCTAGCTAAGATTAGTGCTTCATGTCAGAATAATGATAGTGTACTAGATGTTAATATGCCATTAGGGGGAACTATTGATACAAATAGGATAGCAAGGAGAGTACTGATAAATTTTGATGGACCGACTTTAGAGGTCGATTTGTATGTTATAGAGATGAAATATTTTGATATTATTTTAGGTATGAATTGATTAGGCGCGAATTGAGCCACTATAGTATGTTTTGAGAAAGACGTAATTTTTTGAAGATCGGGAAAAGAGGAGTTCAGATTTTATAGATAGAAGATTAAGGCACTTCCTCGCATCATCTCATCTTTAAAAATAGAGAGCATGTTAAAAAAAAACTGACTGTTAAGAATATCTTGTCAGTCTTATTAGCACCTCAACTCAAGAGAAAGTGTTAGATGATATGTCAATGATACAGGAGTATGCTGATGTGTTTCCCGATGATCTACAACTTTCGCACGAAGAAAGTGACATGCCATACTTCCTTGCTCACGCGTTTCTATTTTATTGGATTTTATGGTATATTCTCATTTTTAAATCGATCCTGTAGAGCAAATAAATATCAAGAAAATTTGTAATTCACAACATGGGGCCGATTGACATAATTGATAATTGATATGGCACAGTAGTACGGGGAATAGTCTCAATTTTGGAATTGACTTGTAGACAGAAGTTGTAGTCTAGCCAATAGACCCATAGACTGGGCATTTGATTGTTTGGAATTGAAACCCACTTGGGTGAATAAAAGTCTTGGTCTTCAGCATATTTATCCCATGTTAGACGGTGGTTTTTTTTTTTTTTTTAATAGAATGAATTTTTTGAGAATGTACGGTTAAAAGTGAAAATTTTTAATTTTCATGAATAATTTTTGTTGTAAAAATATATGATTGACAATAAGTTTGATTTGAAATATAATTAATAGGAAGAGTCTTTTAGCCAATGTTATCAAAACCAATCAAATTGGGAGCTGGCTATGGAGCCAGGTCAGATACATGTACAAACCCTTCTTGTTGTACAAGTAGGGGTGAACTCCTACCAAACACTCACATGGGACCCCATGTGAGTAAGGTCCCATGTGAGTAAAAAGTTGGGAAAAATATCCACACCACCCACCTCATGTGAGTAATTACGTACATGTTCTGTAAACAATAAATCTGTATGTACACGTAAATAACCTAAGGGTTAAAAATTGCTTGAAAACTCTCGGAACCAGTAAAATGGACATGATTTCGATGACTTTTCTAGTTCAACGACGGTATCTCTTTTGAGCTTCAGTAAAAATCTTTGGTTCAACTAAGTGATTTTTCTGGTTCAACTATGGCATTTTTATCATACCTTTAGTAAAAAGCTTTAAGCTTCTTTTTCGTTCACTATGGCTTCTCTTCTTCAAATCCATACATTTTTATCTTCATTTTTCTTTGAATCTTCCCCATACAGCTTCACCATTTTCTCTTTGTGTTTTTTCTTTTTTCTTTCCAATGTAAGATTTATGGCTTGAAAAAATTGATTCTTGCTGTTGATACGTGGGTCCTGTGCAATTAATTATGTTTTGTTGAACAGTTTCTGAATATGATTGCAAGCCACCCGCCAACTAATTTGTGTTTTTTCTTCCGTTTATATTTAGCAATTTCGTCGAATTGTCAAGGGATTTTTTTTTTCTCCTAATCAGAGGTAGTTTTTTCTTTGAAGAAGGCAAGTGATGGTGTATTTGGCAATTGACTATTATGTATAACATGCATGAGGGTCGAACGCTGCAATGGGCAGATTCTCTGCAAGAAATTATTTATTTTAAAATCCCTTCTGCATAGTATCAAACTTTGATAAAAATCTAATTTTAATTAAGATCAAACGGGGGTTTAATATTATTTTATTTTTATTTTTTCATAAATGAGATATTAATAAATATATGTATTTTATATTGACATTTATTTGTAATCATGCTAAGAATCAAAAACCAACAAAACATAAATTTAAAAATTGAATTTATACCTGAGAAGCTATCGTTAATATGAATAATAATAGCCAAATCTTCCCCTCATTACTCCTCACAAAAGTGTTGGCCATCAATAGGATAAGCCAATAAAACCATATGAAGAGGAGATGAGACCTAGCCTTTATATAGAAAATAACTGAGTCGTCCCATTACGATTAAAATTATAATTAGGTTTTATTTTCGACCCATATACTTAAAATTACAACTTCATATTAATTACAACTCGTAAGGTGTAAAAGACCTAATTGATCACTTAATAAATTTGGTCCAAACACAAATATCATTATGAGCCATACATTTAGCCCGTAAAATTTGCAATCGAATGTAAATTCCACGTATGGAATTATTCCAACATTTTATACACATATTTGTCCATATATGTGCGTTTAGACAGAGTGCATTTGGCTGTTGATTAAGAAATGTGAATGGGATTCGTAAGAGAAAGAATGGTCTTCTTAATTTATTATTAAAGAATGATTAGATTCGTAGTCCACTGCCCAATATTTAACAACAAAATAGACACTCTTAAATAACTTTCTATTTCAAGTTTAAAATAATTTATTGTTTATTTTATCATCGGTTTGTTATCAGTTCAAACCTTTAATCCTCGACTCCTTATCTTTTTCAAGTCGATGTCTAGTCTGATTTATAAAATATTGCTTTTAGGTTATGGAATGTTTTAATAGTCATGTCTATATTATGAATGGACAATATATTGAAGTTCAATCAAGGTTTTTTTTTTATTATTGTACCCATACAAATAAAACCTTGGAATTTTTAGCTCTTGAAGAACACTGTAGAAGGCCGGAGTGTTTCAAAATGCAATCAAGAAAAAAAAAACGCAAATAAATCTTTGTAAAGTACAGTAAAAGGGTAATTTCAAAACATCTACATGTAAGAAAAAAATGATTTTTTGAGAATAGATTTTGTGAAAAAAGATTTTTTGGTGAATATGTGGTTAAATAGTAAGAAAAAATTTGATTATTTTACCCATACAAATAAAACCTTGGAATTTTTAGCTCTTGAAGAACACTGTAGAAGGCCGGAGTGTTTCAGAATGCAATCAAGAAAAAAAAAACGCAAATAAATCTTTGTAAAGTACAGTAAAAGGGTAATTTCAAAACATCTACATGCAAGAAAAAAATGATTTTTTGAGAATAGATTTTGTGAAAAAAGATTTTTTGGTGAATATGTGGTTAAATAGTAAGAAAAAATTTGAATTTACATGTAAAATTATTCTATTCTCCTTTACTAGGAGAATAAAATAAATTTTAAAAAGGGAGGATCAAACAAGCCCTATTAATAAATACTCTACACTTACTTTGATTTTGTACATACCATGAGCAGTGCTCTCATCATAAGGGCTCATAGGATAGCTTTTCATTTGATTAATTCAGTGATATCTATGCAACTATTGAAGCAGTAAATTCAAGACAACAAAAGATATTTAGCAGTCTCAATGTGTTTAGAAAGCTCAAGAAGACAAAAACAAAACAATAAATTAAACCTTATTCTCAATAATTCGGATCGACTATATGGAATCCCTTTCACCAGTTCATCAGGCTCATTGCTAGACTTACAGAAAGATCCAAATCAGCAGAATGCATGGCTAAAAATTGCCCAGGGCGGCTAATGAAGTTAGGCATTTAGAAAATGTCATTCTCATAATAGAATATGATAAGATTTATGACTTTTCAAGCATACTGAATAAGCCCAAAATACCTCTTACAGATGTACATTCCTGTAAGCCCTTGTATTTTGTTTGTATAGCCTCTTCCCACGGAGTGATTATCTGTCAAGAAAATTGAGCAGACATTGATGGATTAAAATTCAAACAATGACCCATTCTCTTCAAACAATGACCCATTCTCTTCAAACCCTCTATAAAAGAGGGAATCAACAACATAATTTGATAGCTTATTCTTATTTTCTCACTTCATGGCTGGTTTCAGAAATCATTTCACTATTGAAATGGCTCTAGTTGGGCTTCTCATATTGGCTGTCCTAGATTTCACAGGTCTTTTTCTCTTTCCCTCTTAATTAGAGCATGCTTACTGTGTAGTACTAGATTAGATTACAAAGTATAACAAATGAGATTTTAGCTTCTTTTTCTCGTTAATATTGTTTTGTACATTCCTATCTACCTTCCCAAACACGCCATTAAGTTTAACGACGATATATGTCACGCCTAGCAGCATAATCTGCAGATTATGAATTCAAATATTACGTGCTTAGTCCTGATATTATTTTGTATGAGCACTTCTCAATAATTTGTGTAATAATAGGCTTATTTTATGTTCATTATGATACAGTGGCTCAGACAGGGGTTTGTTATGGAAGGAACGGGAATGGATTACCACCTCAAGCAGAAGTCATCGCGCTATACAACCAGAATAACATCCGAAGAATGAGAATCTACGACCCAGATCAGGCTACTCTTCAGGCACTTGGAGGCTCCAACATTGAGCTCATACTAGGCGTCCCAAACCAGGATGTCCTTCAGAATCTTGCTGCTAGCCAAAGTAATGCAGATACTTGGGTTCAAAACAATGTAAGAAACTATCCTAATGTCAAGTTTAGATACATTGCAGTTGGAAACGAAGTGAGTCCCTTGAAATCGGACACATCTCAGTATGTACCGTTTGTCCTCCCTGCCATGAGAAATATTCAAACTGCAATTTCTGCAGCTGGACTTGGGAACCAGATTAAGGTTTCTACTTCCATTGAAACTGGTATGATCGAAAATTCTTATCCCCCATCAAATGGTGTATTTCAAGCTCCAGTTCGAGAATATATTCAAGGGATCATTGACTTCTTGGTAAACAACAAAGCCCCTCTACTTGTCAACATATACCCGTATTTTGCACGCAAAGATAATCCACAACAGATTACTCTCGAGTATGCTCTTTTTACGTCAGATGGAATTACAGTGCCTGATGGAACGCGTTACCAAAATCTTTTCTACGCCTTACTAGATGCCATGTACGCAGCCCTTGAAAAGTCTGGTGGCTCAACTCTGGATATTGTTGTATCCGAGAGTGGTTGGCCTTCGGATGGAGGAGGACCAGACACGTCCATTGATAACTCAAGGACCTATAATACGAATTTGGTGCAACGTGTAAAGACAGGAAGCCCAAAGAGGCCTGGAAAAGCAATAGAAACTTACATTTTTGCTATGTTTGACGAAGATCAGAAGAGCCCCGATTATGAGAAATTTTTCGGGCTCTTTCGACCAAACAAACAACCTAAGTACCCGATCAGCTTTGACTAGTTCTAGATATCAAGTGTACCAATAAGGAGGACAGTGCTCTAGAACTGGGACATACAAGTTCTATATAAGAATTCCTCCAGTTTATTTGATGAGCAATAAAGAGCAGTATGAATAATATTTTTTTTCTTTTTCTTTTTCAATTCTCAAGCCATACACAAATCAGAAGATTGCAGCCAGAGATTCTATTGAAAGGATTTTAACTTCATAAATGAATAATATTTTCATTTCATCACGTGATTAAAAAAAAAATACTCATTTGACTATGAAAGATGTGGCCTCTAAGGGAGTTTACGCCTTAAAAATGTTACCTCACTATAGCGGATTATGGTGTGTAATCGAGTTTAGGCAAACAACTTTTCACGATAAATGGAGTCATGTCCCATCACTCTTTTCTTTCTTCTTGAACCGACAATAACAAGTCCAATAATACAGAAAAGTTTTACATAAACTACTAAAACAACATATAAGAAAAGTTTTATCTAGGTATAAACCTGTTTGGTTTAACAAAAATGTGATTTTTAGTAGATTTTGATAAAAGTTGATGAAACGTTTGGTTGAAAGTCTAATGAAATGTTTAGTAAAAATTAATTATTTGATTTGACTTACATTTTAATCAGCTTTTTAAATGAACCAAATAGGGGTATATTTATTTGTGACTGTGAGAGGTAGCCTATCAAAATGTCTTTTTCTAAAAGGAAATAATTTTTCTTTGTTTCCTTATATATTGAAAAGAATTTTATTTAAAGTTGACTCTCAACTCATGATCTAGGTTAACAATTATTTTCATATAATATGAAGGAACCAGTTTCTTTTATATGAAAAAAAATAAAAATAATAAAAAATAAAATAAAATATATATATATATATAGGATCATTCAAATTGACCAAATGTTGAAGGGTAAATAGTCCAACTAAGTAATTCAAGACAACCTTTCTGCAGGCTTAGGAGAGATTTGAACCCTTTGTAAATAAACAAAGCGTACATAACAACTCAATGCTATGCCTTAAATCACTCTATCATTTATGGCATTCAATCTTAAACCTCCTAGTTTCTTATGTAACACTTCATTTTGTTTAAAGTATAAACTACATTGATTTGTTTTTAATTTGGCATGCCTTGCAAACTTCGAAAATACATTTAATTGCAATGGAAGCTTCCGGAAAATAAAGGCCAAGCTTGTCTTATATAATCATTAGTAATTGTAATTTCATTGTTTACCTCTATCTGACATTAGATATCGATGGGCCCACAAATATAAAAATGCACTAACTCTCCTTCTTTGCTCTTTAATTTTCCTCGTCCCTCAAGTGGTTCGCTAATGAGAGGAACAAAAATGCCACACACGACAAAGGAACAAGTAGAACAAATTAGAAGAAATGTATTTGACTGTACTTCATAATATAACTGCTTATAGCAAGAAACTAATGATTATATAAGACATTTCTATAAAAATGTGTCAATGGAGGTATGAATCTGGTGTCCTCACCAATTCCTCTTGAGTGGATGAGAGGCAATCTAGGTTAAGGAAGATCCTGTTGACTTCGATAGAGCTCCAATAAATCTGGGTCAAGTTGCTATAGTATCTCTCTGGAGATCCATGTATAGTCAGAATCAGGTCGATCAATCCAACGAGAAAGGAAGGATTGAACCTCTCCATCATTAGTCAACACAGTCTGTTCATCTAAAATAACATCAATTTTATCTTTGTGTGTTGTGAGAGGTGGTATTAGGTTAGAAGAGACAAAAGAATCAGGATCAAGGTCTACAGAAAGAGTTAAAAGAGAATCATCGGAGGGATTGAAATGGCCTTTATAAGCAACTAAGTTCTCAACATTGAAAATAGAGTGATATCCAAGGTGTAGTGGAATGTCAACAACATATGCATTTGGACCAACTTGCTTTAAAATTTTAAATGAACTAACACTACGGACTGGTAATTTATAAGCGGGTCCAGATAGACGTCGCTCTGACCTAATTCGGGCCATAACGTAATATCCAATATTAAACTCAACATGTCGTTTATGCAAATCAGCTCAGAGTTTATATGATGCATTATTGGCTTCAAGTTCTTTATTGATCTCGATATGCAAATCATGAAGGTGTCGTGCAAATGCCTTGGCTAACACAGACACTCTAGCATATGGAAACACGGGCTAAAATCTAAAGGCTTCCTAGGCTTATACATATGAACAATTTCAGATAGACTTGTAACTAATGATCGATTTATGGAACTGTTATATGCAATTTTCATTGTATGAAGAATCAGATCCCAATTTCTAAGATTTTCCCTAACTAGACATCTTACCAAATTACCAAGACTATAGTTAACCACTTCCGTTTGACAGTTAGCATAAGGGTGGTAGGCCACAGAAAATTTCAATTTGGTACCAACCTTTTGAAAGGTTCTTCAAAAATGGATAATGAAACGAACATCTCTATCTGATACAATGGTTTTAGGAAGCCCATACAATTTGACCATTTTATTAAAGTACAACGTGGCAACCTTGGGAGCGTTTGAGATCTTGCTGCAAGGTATGAAATGAACCATTTTCGAGAAACGATCGATTACCACATAAATAGAGTCATGCTGCTTCGAGTGCATTGAAGTCCTAACACAAATCCATACTAACATCTTGCCAAGGTCAATTAAGGACGGGAAGCGGTGTGTATAGACCAGCATTTTGTCTCTTCTGCTTGGCCAACTAACAAGTGTTACATGTGCTAACTACTTTAGCCACATCTTTCTTCAAACTAGGCCAATAAAATTGACGTTCAATCTCTTTTATGGTCTTATCACGCCCAAAGTGATCGGTTAAGCCTTTCGCATGAATTTCCCACACTATGAAATCCCGCACTAAAATTCGAGGAATGTACAATTTATTAGCCATAAAAAGGTAACCCTCCTCAAGTCGAAAACCATCCATGGTATCTGACTGTCCACCCTGTAAATCCAGAAAGATATCCTTAAAATCATGACACGTTTCGTAATCCTCCTTAAGTCTTTCAAAACATATGACCTTAACGCTTCTGATCGACAAAAGGGAGATACGACGACTTAAAGCATCAGCCGCTTGATTCTCTGTGCTCTTCTTATGTTTCAAAACAAAAGAATAGACTTGTAAATATTCAATCCAGCGACCATACCTAGAGCTCAACCTTTTCTGGCAATGTATCAATAAGGATGTGGGTAACCCGACGAGCAGTGACCATATGTTCTAGTTGCCTCACCTCTATCCACCTTACTAACATCTCCCTAATGTATTAGCCCATATCATGCGCTGGATTCCACTGATACTTTCCGTATTGACTTAGGATCCCATATCAATGAGTTATCATTGAACTCGTCTTCCTACATGTTCTCTTAGTCCGTGTTATCCATGCCAAATCAATTATAAAGTCTAAATATGTGGATTTCTAATATTTTTTTCGAGGACTAAAATGAACATCCATAATTTAGCTAAAAAAAATATATATCCATCATATTCTCAAACTTGACTTCCTTAAACATAAATTGTCGAGATTTAAATATATAAATCACACATAAATATTTCAAGAACCATAGCATAACATAAATTCCTTAAAGTTTCTTTACCTCAGAGTCGGCGATTTGTGACAATGGCGGCATGATGGTAACAAAATAATTATTTGACACACAATTTCCGAAGTTTTGGAAATCAAGTTTATGTTTCGCAAGTCTACAGAAAGGTAAATCAAGCTCTAATACCAACTGTAACGCCCCAAAATTCTAATAACCCAACGCGTTACCAAGTACGAGTTCTCTAACGTTAATTTCCAAAATACGAGATGAAAGAAAGTTTTAAAAATAGAATTTATTTAATCAAACTATATAATCATAACATTTTTTTTCTCAAATCTCCATTTTTTTAAACATATAAACTTAAGAAAAATTACGGAACGAAATAACCTGGAATGAGTTTTTATATAAAAAAAAACAGCCAGCTGAAATAGCTTTCTACCTTTGCGCAGTAGTTTGCAAAAATTATTTGACCTAGCAAAACTTGACGAAAACTTATGAAATTTTATAGAAAAGTGTAAAACTTATATAAGTACAACATATAAAAATTTAGGATCTTGATGACCAGGTTTGAAGCTCAAAATTTATTTTCGACTAAGCTGGTCTGTGCTTCCAGGATTTGATTGCTACAGTTTGCTAAAATTGTTATAGTAAATTCCACGGGACCCCAATCTACCTATTTTCAGTTTCATATGATAGATAACTCACAAAGGACCATTGTCCAATAAAAACAGGTGCTAAAATTCTAAATATGCCGACCATAAAACAATTTTAAACAGTGGCAAAATTCTGGAAAATTTACTTTAAAAAACCAGTTCAAAGATTAAGACTTTTCGTTTCAAAACATGAATTTAAACTACAACTTTTGGGACTCCCCAATGATTATTAAACATTAAGTGATCTAAAACATAAGAAATAAACTCCTCTAAAAATAAGACACGCAATTCATGCCAAACCACCGCTTGACCTCCGATCACTTTGAAAATGTTAAATAGGAGTGAACATCTCAAAGAAATACTCAGTAGGCTACACATGCTATATGAACATAATAATCATGTATTTAATCATGCATTCTTACATGTTGTGTTCATAAATAAATAGATCGATGATCAAGTGTTCATAAATAAACAGAGCGATGATCAAACAACCTACTTAAGGCTCTGATGAGCCTCTGCGACCATCAGTTTAGATATATATAAATCTTTGTTTCATCCAAATTTAAGAGAAACTCTAAAAGCACTTCATATACTTCATGGGCAAATATAACGAATAACACGGTTAAATGAAGGACAACTTCGCGTAGGGATTCTACCTCAACTCCCAATAATATGGTAATGAGTATGTCGATCAATATTCCTTTCGAATCTTAAATGTGAAAATATTCTCTACTTTTCTATATTTTTTGTGTTGCTGCCGTATGTATATAATATGTATTCAATGTGTGCTATGTCTTTCATGTATCTAGAATAACTTGTTATCTATCATCAATTGGAGTTAATGGATAATTAAGAGTCTTTAGCCATGTAACTCTCAAGGATGAGATAAAGACGGATTTTAAACAAACAAATGGTTTCCTAGTCAACTTTGAAATCTACACATGAATTGCTGATAAATCATTCCAATCAAGATCAATTAAAACAAATCCTAAAAGCTTTCATCCTAATCCAAAATAAAAAGGTTAAATTTCAAAATATCCAATACACGTGGCTGCCAAAAATATCAATTAAATCCTTAATTGACTATAATTAAGCATGTGATTTTTTTTTGAACATCAATATCATGGCCTAACTTATCCAAAATATTTTTTTCTCGAGTACAAAATTTCCCATTTAATATGAGCTTCAAAACAAGTCCAATATCGATATGAAATTTCTTGTTAGATGAATACTCGATTATGACCGAAAGCTAAAATTTTGACACAAGATTTATTTTTAAATTATTCCCTCAGTATCTCAAATTAACAAAACATGTCAAGATGAAATACATATTGATAAATTTCTCGTTAGATTAATACTTGATTATGATCGAAAGCTAAAATTTTGGCACAAGATTTATTTTTAAATTAGCCCCTCGATATCTCAAATTAACAAAACATGTCAAAATGAAATAGATGAAAATTTATTTTCATCTGCTACAACAAATGTCTAATCAAATTCTCTAATCGCATAGGTTAAGTGGCTAACAGTGGGAATCAATTCGATCAATGATTCCGACCAAGTGGGGTTTAAGACTAAAATTATCAAGTTAACAATAACAAAAAGAAATTAAATGATACAATTTTAAAATGAACAGTAGTATAGACTTACATTAAACAGCGTACAAGGACTCATTGTCCGATTGTAGAGGCGGTGCCCACGGAAGCTTGAAGTTGTTGGCGCGTACTCATGAGACCTCAGTCCAACCGGTGGTGGTACAATCTATTTTCCTGTTCCAATTCACACATATGGACGGCTTCAATAATCAGTTCAATAAATTGCTTCTCTCGTCCCATTTCCAGAATTTTAATCGGTATTGTCAGCCGCAAATTCAATGCATAGCAAGCAGTAAAATCTGATGACAAGCTGATGATTGTGTATTGGATATTATAAGTGTGGTGTCGCAGCAGTTTAAGCAGACATAAAGAAAGAGGCTCGAACTGGAAAATGTTTGGAGTTATGGGTTGTGTCCAATTGATGGTGAGGTTCTGCCGGTGGCGACGGGTGAGGCGGGAGCGACAGTAGGAGCGGCAACGGTGCCTGGAAAGAGATGAAGTTGGAGACCGGGTGTGCTGTTGTCGAAGTGGCAGAGAGGTGTTAGTAGCGGCGAGTGAGAGATGCACCACTGATGTCGGTGGTGCTGGAGAGTGGTGTCGTCGGCGTGGGGGAGGGACGTTGGTGGGAGTAGCTAATGGGCCCGGTTGACGACGTACAGGCACGGGGACGCTGAATATTGTTGAGTGATTAGGTGTTGGCGGAGATGAGGGTTATGGTGTGGGCCAGTTAATGGCTATGTTGAAATGGGTTGAGTGATAATATAAGATTGGGCATTGATTATATGGGTTTTGGAGTTATCGGGCTACGTGGGTTTGGGCTGTGTGGGTTATGATTTAGGGAGTCAGGAGTGTCTGGGGGTATATATGGGTTGTTCTAGGGTTTGGATTAGCGAGAATTGGGCTGGTTTTATATGTGAGCCGATCGTAAGTAGGTTTGAGTGTTAGGGTTGGACTTTGTGAAAGAAATAGCACTGCAATTTATCTAGCAGCAACAACAAACAATTTTCTTCTAGAAACTGATGAAAAGACTAAACTAAAATTTTCGAACGTGAATAGTACACGTGAACAGTAACCTTTTTTTCCCCACAAAGAAAGAAAACTGAAAAAAATGAAAAATGTTGTTCTTACGCTAAATCCTTTTCACTTGTGCTATTCTAACAAATTTTGGATAGAAGGCAAGAAGAAATTTTGGATCGTAGATTAAGCTTATCCAAGTTTTGACTTTGATATCAAATTTGATGCAGGACCAACTGGATAATTAATGAAGAACAAAATAGATCTATGAAGAAGATGGAACTAAGGAAAGAACGGTATAAGAGGAAGAGTCAATAGAAGAAGTAGAAGAAGGTAGAAAAGAGAGAAATTTCATCACAAGCCACCAAAATAATTTAGTTATTTATTAACTGTCTCAATAACATGACAAACTAGGTTGAAATATCAAAACAAAATCCTAAAGAGAAAGGCCAAGCCCATTATAAAATTTCACTAACATAAATAATAGTCCAACTAAAATAAACAAAATAAATAAGAGTCCAAATAAAATAAAACAACTATAAGTGGATGTCCTCATCACTTCCACGACTAAGAGAGAAAAAGGGAGGACACTTGGAAAATGAGATGAAGAAGAGATAAGCTGATACTTCTTAGGAAATTACTCGTAGCATTATTTCTTAATTTTTCTAATATGAAATATATACAGTATTAGAAATAGCTATAGCAAGCATTCTGAAGGTATGGGATTACAACAATTGTCTTACATATATGTCTGTCCTCTCTTCTTTTAACTCCCAAACCAAAAGCAAAAATTACTTAGACGATGGCTCAACTTCTCGTTTGGGCCGATTGCGGGTGCGTGGTGCTGCAGGTTCATTTTCTAAAGGAATGTTAACTTCATCCTCATCCTCCTTTGCTTCTAGTATAGCTTGGTTTATTGCAACCTGGTTCATCACACAACTGAAGTTATGCACCATCTTATCTTCAAACATGAATCAAGTACTTTGAATACACACAAGCCTATAATGATACCTGACACAATTTTTCTTCAGGAAAAAAAGAAACAAAAGATGAAGGATAAACACTGCTCCAGATCTTGAGAAATGATTGAACAGCAAATATCACAATTTGTAGTGATATTTAACAAATCAAGTTATGGCCATTGAAATTCAGATATTGCTAGTGATAAAACAGAACCGCCTGGTGAGTTAGCAACTAGCAATTACTAAAATTCCAAAACCATTCATATATAAAACTTAAAATTCAGTTGAAAAATTAACAATGTAAGAGATAAAACAGGACAGCACTTTGAGCATTTTAGAATGATACTTGGACACTACTTGAGAAACTATAAACTTAGTTTATTTAAGAATTTGCATGTCACATATAACCACGTTGGACTGCAAAAATCATTTCAGCTACCTCATGCATATTCAGTTTTTCTTTTTCCCCCACTACTACACATTGGAGGATGCTGAGAATCCAAAGAGGTGCTTCGCTTATAGTATATAACGGATAAAAACTTTTCACTTCTAGTAACAGAAATTGTAATATTGAACTACCAAGCATCTGCATTCCATTAATTCAAGGAAATGTCTTTGGTTACTCATGGACAGGCTGGAAGCAAGCAATGTAGAAATTATATACGAGTTTTTCTTAACAGATCCTATCTCCTTAGGAAAAAGTTATGAATAATTACAGGAAAAAAATTTCACTCATATCTTTTAATAAAGACTTTTTGACTGTGCCCAGGGATAATATATGAATACACAAAAACTTTTTTCTTGAGCATAGCATCTCTCCATTTACATATACTTTTCTTCTTCATTCCTTAATCAATACTGCTCTGAGATGCTTCCTGAGATAAGTGCAACTAGCCCACACATTTTTCGCTCTTTCTATGAGAATATAAAGGGTGAGACAACAGTCTATATTCCTTGAAATTTTCCCATAGCTTGCACCTCTCTAGCCCTAAGACTTCATTGTGACCAGTCTTGTAGGTCAAGCCAGCAGGTTGTCTTACGAATCAGTTGCAAGCTTTGGCATCCTTGAAGAATTGAAGGAGACAACCTAAGAGATCCGAGCTTTAGCGAAGTTATCAGTAAATATTTGAATTTGGCCTCAGGCTTGAGTTTCAAAGTTCTAATAAAGGACATCTTAGTTACGTTGTGACATGGCCTTGCATTAGCAATCAAGAAGTTTAGGCTTCTATTAGAGTTGACCCACAGCAATAGCATGCTAGGCTGACATGTGGGATCTCTTCATCGAAGTGAAAATGACATAAGTTCAAACTCAAATAGGAAGCCTCAAGTTAAGATCCTCATGCAGGGGTACAGAGTTTTATTTTTGATGCACATCTAAAAGGAGAACTGTAAAAACGGTGCCAATAGACTATTTTATTTAGGGAAGTTGAAACTTCTCAAGCCTTCATGACGTTAGCACATTGTGGACAGTGTCTGGGTAAGCATTGGCCCCATGATAAACGTGCAAGGAGACTTCAGCAAGATTATTGAAGTCATGCATAAAGTGTTTCTGTGAGGTCATACTTACAATAGGAGTTTCTGGGAACTGCTAATTGTGAATTTCAAGAGATATTGAGAAATTTCTTACTAAGTTCTGGATCTTTGAAGTTCATTTACTTGAGAAATTATTGCTTGAGGTGTGATGCAGTAGCATTTTCATAATTTCAAATTATTGTGAGGGAAATATTCACTTGTTGACAATCTGGTGGAGTTGAGATTTTGAAGAGCTGACACTGAGGATGAGATCTTGGTTTGCTATTTTAGGGAAGGCATGTTTACAAGTATCAGTCATTCCCCATCATACTACAGGGTAGCCTTTGGATCCTTTTGAACTAAGCAAGCAACAATCTTAGAATCCTGGGGTAAGGGGTACCTTACGGTAGACTTTTGGGATCTCAAAGAACCTCTAGAGTTCCCCATGCAAGTTTGTATTTGCATGCAGCATTGGAACCGCGGCAGACATTAGGCATTGATTTTGGGCAAAAGCTACATAATAGGAACCACTATGCTCCATGGGATATCATCTTGCTATAGGCCAAATAAGCTATTGTAACAAGCATACCAAGAGCCTTGTGTGTCAACTTGTCTGCATTGGCTGCTATGGGTTCTAGCCTTGCTGCCTTCATGCAAAGAGGTCAAATAGAAGGCAAGTATTGGCAAGATGCCAACGTGAAACAAACCGTGTAGTATGATCATAGTTTGATGGTACTTCAAGAAAGAATTGGATTTACATGTGATCCTACTAAACGGCACTAACTTGATGACCACAAGGATAGTTTCTCCCTTACCACCAAATATTCATGGAATGAACCATGTGTTGAGGGAAAACGTGGGAAATAATCTACTCAAGATCACCGACAAAGAAACGAAATGATGTGGGAGTGGGAATCACGACAAATGTGAGTAATGCGGATCAGAAAGTATGTTGGCACCAGGTGCAACATGGTGACACATTGAGTATTCATGCTAATAACCTTCATGGCCTCAAACTTGCAATTGGTCATCAATAAGATTCAAAGATACATTTAAACCGAGCCAAAGAATCTATCATCACATATTCAGTTAATCCAAGAAAACATGACAGTAAAGGAAGGGTAATGTTACTAGAATGAATGGAGATGTGTGTTGAAAGAGAACTTCCCCTCCTTATCTAGAGAAACCCGTGACCCATGACTTATTATTTCTTAATAGGAGAGAAAGGTTGGACTTTGGGAACGAAGACTTTGAGGCATCAAATGGGTGAAAAATAGACCAGTGACACAAGACCTTGACTTCCATCCAGTGTGAGTAAACTATATACTGTCAGAAGTCTGTACACATAAGTTGAGTTCATTTTTTGCTATTAACAGCTACCGATGTAAGCAGCCACTAATTGTGGATCTACCCCTCTCCTTGTGCCAATAGTGTCGTAATTGTTTATCCTACTCTTCTACTTGCACAACCTCCCGATATTATCCCTTCAAGCATTATCTTTCCCCATATGAGCAGCCGTCAAATACGGCTCTGCCCACCTGTCCTTGAATCAATAGCATCACAATTTTGTATCCTACTCTACTACTAGCACAACCTCCTGATATCGTCTATTCGAGCATTATCTTTCTCATCATTTCAATGCACTAAGGCCATCTCACCACTTCTCTTGTCCCGCTTTCATGACACGAACGAATTATAATCTCGCAAGAAAAGAAAGATGCGGCATTTTTACACTAGTAAATACATGTTATCATAAAATTACCATTTGTTATGCAAAAATTTAAAATTTCCAGATATGGCCTTAACGTTCAGGGGCAGACCTGGGGGGGGGGGTTTATAGGGGCAATTGACCCCCTAGATTTTGGGGAAAAAAAAATTATTGCTTAGCTTTTTTTTTTTTTTTTTCCTCAATTTTTTTTATTAAAAGATACCCTGTAAATTTTATTTTTGCCCCCCTAACCAAGGTCGTCTGGGTCTGCCCCTGCCTGTTTATAGCAAAACTTGTGCATCAAGAAAATTAAAAAATATTTTACACAAGGTTTTAGTGTACATATTAGACGAACATGCTGCACTCAACAGGCAAGTTACTTTTAGACCCGAATGGACATCCAGAACTAAAAGAAGACCAAAGCAGTGCATTTGTATTTTAACTCGAATCTAGTATGGTAAGTTCAAAAGATCTATACAGAAAAGACAGAAAGAAATGTGCAAGGCAGTATCAAAATCTTCTATGTCCATCAGATATCATGTTTCGTGAAATTCTATACAGGTGCCTTTTTCTGCCATCTTCTTTTTGCAAGAAAACAGATATATGTTTTTAAAGACAGCCACTTGGTTGCCAATGCTAGCCATCCTACACCTGCAACCTTCATAAAAAATATGCACCTAAACAGTCACCATATTGCCTCCCACCATCATATCCTTTCTCAAACATCGAACTCTCATACAATACTACTCTGTTATTGTCCTTCATAACCATATAACTCCAAAATAGTCCACATCCCACTGAATGTCCAGTACGGTATACGATATGGGATCGAAATAGGGACATTCAATGAGACAGGAAGTATGCCTCTCCCCAAGGCAAACATCACAAGATTACAAGTAGCAACACATTGCGAATGAGGTACATTTTTTCTTTTTAGTCTTTTCTTTTAGCTTTAGAATAAAGTTTCAGCATTCTTGAAATGCCCAAATGGGAAAGGGGAAACACATACATTACCCTATGGCCCCAGCTTCATGACGTCCTAGGCATTTATAAGTAAAACAAAAGGAGGAGAAATATAAATCCAAATAAAGAGACTGCAAAAGGATCTTTTGCCTACTCTTCCTCCCCATTTATAATAAGTAGAAGGTAGGTATGACAGCATCTATATGTATTTCGGACCAATCCAGGTTTAAGTCCATAAATTCGCACTTTGGACAATCCCCTCAGCTGTGCGAGGCCTCCTCATGAAACTATTCTCTTCCTATTTGCTTGTGTTAGTTTCAGACAGAGTTGGTGCTGTTTGCCAATTTTATATCAATTCCATCTTAAACCAATGCATTTTTACTCGACAAAACAAAGAATAAGCAATTAATTTTCGTCAAGCAGAGAAATAATAATGGATCTTGGGCTAGTTTAGTGAAAGGGAATTTTCAAACTTGCACAGACAACTTGTACACTAGCTAATGGGACTTGCTTGCATGAATGTTAAAAAGGATCATCTTTTAAAATCTGAACACGAAGCCACGATACATGTCAAGTTATGTTGAAACGGAGGTAGGAAACTAATTCAGAAGGTGAGGGATTTAAATAAGAGTAATAATTTTGAAACAATATAATAATTAAAAATATTATACTTTTCTTGACATATAACACTAGAGTATTTATTATTTTTACTCAGAAAAGTGGAGGTAAATTTTCACCCTCAAGAGATCAAAACACACAATGGCCACAAATAAATAACTGCCCCCAAAAAATAACAAACTAACTTTCCTATAACCATGCTTCCGACAAAACCTTCCTATAAATATACCAACGTTGTCTTGGTGCACAACACAACCTAATTTTCTTACATCTTCTAAAACAAATTACTCGAAAATGGCAAGGCATATTCAATTTTCAATTCTCTTTGTTATAGCTTTATTCTTCTTTTCCCTCCCCATTGTCGTGAACTCCCAAGGCTCTCCCGGCAAGGAATCATTTTACGTCGAAGGACAAGTGTATTGTGACACTTGTCGTGCTCAATTCATTAATAAGTTTACCCAGTTCATGCCTGGTACATTACTATGTGAATATATTATTATTATAAAATGTTACTCATGTCATATTTTGTATCTCCTAGGTAGCATCATTAACGGCAAACCCTTAAGACACTCAAAATATAACTCAGTTATTGATAGAGTGAATGAATCTATCGTTGTTTCTTAAAATCACACGTCTCTTTTCCATCATAGCACGCATTTCTTGTCATGATATATAACCTATACACATGCTTTCTTCATGTAGGTGCTACTGTAAAACTTCAATGCAGAGGTGATGACGAAGGCAACATAACATATACCGTTACAGGTAAAACTAATGAAAAAGGCGTCTATCGCCTATTTGTCGAAGGGGATCATGAGGATGAAATTTGCGAAATCAAACTGATTTCGAGCACCATAAAAGATTGTGATGAAATTCCTGACGAAGGATGGGCAAAACAATCATCAAGAATTACGATCACAAAGAACAATGGTATGCATGGTGATGTACGCACAGCTAATGCTCTTGGATTCTTTAAGAAAGAAGCTCTACCAGAATGTGTAGAACTCTACAAGGAATTGGGTATCTTGCCCCCAGATCTGTGAACAAGAAGGAATCTGATTTATTAAAAGATCCTTAATTTCCTCATTTTTTTTTATTTTTTATCTTTTGTAATAGCTTTGAAAGTACCATTTTTTGTGTATGGAAATTTTGTTTTTTGTTTTTATCAAAGTTCCCAAGAATTTTCTTGTGGAAAGACAATAAAATTTTGTAGATTATGAGAAAAAATCGATAATTGCAACGTGACACAACTGTCGGTATATTAAATTGGTTAAATTAAGTTTTTCAAATTTTAATATTTTAAATTTTCATTGTCAATTTTAAATTAAATTTGATAATATATTTTGCAAATTATCACTGGCAAAAAATACCATTGTAAGCTTAAATATGTTAATTGCTATTTTATTACTTAAAGAGTTTTCAGTTAATCATATTTAATTTTTTAAAAAATTAATAATTAGGAAGTTTCGAAATTCTAAAATTACAAATTATTTCTCTATTTAAGGGGAAGATTATTGAATTAAAACACAATTTTGAATGGGATAACGCGGGAGCAATTTCACTGTGTGCTTCGCGAAGAAATTGACAACAGCTAATATGGAAAAACTGATCGCAGTCTCGTGGAAATGGTGGTGGGTTAGAAATTTATGGAGTTTGGTCTTTTTTTCGGGACGAAGCTACAGCAACATAGGCGGTGACATAGAGTTTGACCGATTACACACATACATAGGAGGTCGGCATTTTTTTATTCAAATGGGACCCGCAGCAATGTGAGAGGATGTCACTCCATCGATCAAGCATTTTCAGGTACATCAGCAAAATTCTTTTTTTCCCTTTTCGAATTTACAATGTAATCTTTTTCTCCGTGAAGCAAATGATGTAGTAAACGCCCCTCTCTCGCAAAACATGCTTTTGGTACTTCTCAATCAAAGGAGTGGGTTGACACACCTCGAACTTCATTCCAAGAACTCTAGCTGCTAATTTAATAAATAAAGTTTTCAGTAATTTTAAAAAAATAAATTAAATATACTGTATAAAATTGACTTCTAAGGAGAATTGCTCGTACTTTTTCTTGAAGTTATTAAAGACTTAACACTTACAAAAGTTAACAATTCAATATTTTTAACAAAATCAATAAATTAACAAATTGCAATATTTAAGCCAAAAATCAGGTTCAAATAAAAAATTTAAGAAATACTTTTTAGCTACAATGAGTCGATAGTCAAAAGTTTTACTTTCACCGATTCTCTTTTCAAGTTTAATGCTTGAACTTTTAATAACATATTATTGCAATAAATAATTAATATTCATAGATTTAATTATCCATTCTGGGAGTATTTTCTTCATTTGACAAATTCATCAGCAACACCAAAATTCTCCCTACCTAATGCACGGTATTTTATGTATCCAGTTGGATATTTTAGCCAATTATGTATCAACGTTAAAATATTAATTATGAAACTATATTCTATAAATATTTACTATTACAACAAAGAATTAAGCCATTTATACTTATTTATTGACACTTTGATTAGCCGGTCCCATCAGTCCTCTCACATGAGGTCGGGTCCCATGTGGGGGTCATGACGTGGGGTCTGACCTCCATGTGAGAGGAGAAGGTGGATCCGAGTAAACCAAAGTGTGAACAAACAAGTACAAGGAGCATAACCCTACAACAAATCGTGAAGTTAAGGCAACTAGCAATTTTATTATTATTATTATTATTTTATTTTTATCCGGATCTTATTTTTGAATGTGATCTACACTCGGTGAGCATATATGAGCTTGGAATTGTCACCTCTCAATTTGGCCTCAAGCATTTTTCCTCCTCTTGGTCAGAAACATGCCGTGCTCCACCGCATCAAACTCTAATTGTTGCACCTGATAAGCGTCCAATAAGCAACCCTCTGATAACGGTCCTGCGAGGTCCTGGCAAGGTGGCTTAGATGTTTTCCGTCGACCAGAGCCGACCGGCACGTTTCTGAGGGCCCCACCGGCGGTCCAGTACCTATGGCAGCCCTTACAAAAGTGCCTAGGCTGGTTGACATTGTAGTTGTTGAAGTAACAAAACTTTGTTTCTAAGCTTTGGCATCTTGGGCATGGAATGATCTTTTGTGGCCTTTTCTCTACCGTTTGATCAGCTTTTTTCGGCTCATCTTTGTTTGTTGATTGTCTCTCTTGAGCTGCTATTGTTGCACCAAATAATTTGATCCCAGATAAATTGTTGCTGTCTTGTATTTCGCCCATCCTTAAGAGAGAGAGAGAGATTTCAAGATTAGGAAAGAATGTCAAGTATTTGAGAAAGATGCATGTTTTAGGTCGTTGACAGATTTATATAGATAGATATAGAGAGAGATAGATACAAATTAACATGTACCACTAAAACCTAAAAGAAAAAAGTGCATAAACCGGGCTAGGTGGATGGGGAGTAAGATTGCTTGACGAAACTCATTCTGAATCTTGACTGGTAAATAAGAGTGTTTAATATATAAGTTTACAAGAGAAATCTTCCATGACGTGAAATTGAAAAACTACATTTCTATTGTGTAGACAACGCATCAGTGAAGGATCAAAACCGACATTGAGGTAACTAATTTTTCATACCAGTGATTCTGAGAAACCAGTCTTCTCCTTAAGGTAGCAAGTTTGTATAGATTATGATGAGAGCGGCCAAGAACTGAAGGAATCTATAAGAGGTAAGAAAGTTGATGCTAAACTTTTCTTTCCGCATCATAATACAAAGTCTCTGAAGTGGGCCCTGGACAAGTAGGTTCAATATTGAGTTATTGAAAGTGGGAGCCTAAAGATAGAGATGTTTAAAGAGATAAAGCAAAAGGCCAAAAGAATTTTTGATACGATCAGTATACGTAATCCATTTGGTTTCTTATCGATTACGAAAGATTATACGAATATTTTGGCACATCATTCATGGCTCTGGGTTATCGGTTTTCAATTCTTAATGGTGACGTTTGGAGATATTGAAGGAAACTAGATAATGCATTAATTAATTTCAAGGATCCAGTATTTTTTTTCTTGTTTTTCAAATAAAATAAAGAATAAAAAATACAAACAATGTGGAACTGGCTAAATATGAAGGGCTCGTTTGGCATGATTTTTGTTTTTACTTTTACTTCTTGCAGAAGAATTTTTGAAGAAAGCTATTTTAATTTTTGTTTGAAAACTAATATTTAAAAGCATTTTTTATTTCGAAAGTGCTTTTAGAGGAAGTCGCATTGAACCAACTTCCTCTAAAAACTCTTCTAACCACCAAAAACATTTTAGCAAAATTAGTCAAACGAGTCCAAAAACAACTTTTGAACCTCAAAAGCCCTTTTTGGCTTTTCATAAGCCATGCCAAACTGACTCTAAGACTCCTTTGGATGTTATTAAATTTTCATTTTGTGGATATAATCGGACTGAATTTTGAATTTTTTTCGATCAAACTAGTCAATCCAGTCTAGTTATACAACATTGATTTTAAATATACTTTGTACTTTGATGAAAGACTTGCAATAAGACACAACACAATTTGGAAAAAAAAAAAAAAGAAAGTATTTTTATAAATTCAAGAAACCACTTTTATATGTTAAAAGAGTTCCATGTTTGAAACTTGTCCTAAAACGATAGCGTATAAAGATCTCTGTCCAATCCAATTTGATTATATTATGTGAATTTTAGGGGTCAACTGTTGAGTATAGTTAGAAAAACTTAAAAATCGGATAAGGTACTTCTCCATATCCATATTATATAAAAGAAGACCCAAAAAAAGTGAATTATTATTCAAAGCCAAATGCTTATTATGGTAATGATATTTCTTATAGATAACGCTTTTTCCTTTTGAAATAATCTATACGAATTTGAAATTGACGTTTTTGTTGTTACTTTTCTCATCTCATATACAAGTGTCTTTCGTGTGTTTTTAGTTGAAAACAATTAAATATATAATTGTATAATGGGATTACTTTAATAAATATATCTTCATTAGATTAATTTAAAAGTTGGCCTCATTTCCAACTTTTTTTTCCCATTTATAGTGCATGTTTGGTAGCAATTTTCACTCCAAAAAATCATTTTTTTAACCGTTATTTCATTATTTCAATAGTCATTTTTTACTTCTTTACTCACAGATGGGATCCACTTTTCTTTCTAACGGTTAAAAAATCAATTCTCATAATCACTGTCGATCAAGCTCATAATCTCGACAACAAACACTGATCATTCTTTAATTGGAAATATGTGCACTTTATTGTTTAGGGGACTGTAGAGTCTCTTAGGCGTTTTCCCATTACTTTGTTCGATACATAATTGCTAGAAATTTTGCAATAACTTACGTGAGAGTTTGTTTCCTGAAAAAGAGAATTTATGAAATTACTTCTTCTAGAGTTACTTGGTGAAAAGAGAGAATTTCTAATTGTTAAATACCTAATGAGACCATCTCTAAAATCTCGTGTCTTTTAGCATTTTCTACTGATGTCGTTTCACAACTGTGAAAGAGATTACTTTCCTTCAAGTTATATCAATCATTTGATGGACGGTAGGATGTGTTGGAAAAGCTAAATGGATAGTTGCTTTCTTGGGTGGCTTATCAATCAAGATATAAATTATTAAAATTGCCTGTCTAATGTTAACACTGCAGTATTATTCTAACCTATTCTTGTTAGATCATTTATTTCTCTATATGTATAAATGTCACAACCTGACAAAAATCTAGTGCAAGGGCCACATTTATGTACATAACACGCCTTAATAAATAATATGATAAGAAATTATTGAATTTCATCGAATGTATGGATCTTACAGATAGCAGAAAAGGATTCATCACAAGCATTGTAAGCATAGCAAAGACATGAATTACAGCTACTGAAAGAGATGATATCTCATTAAGTTATTAAGAAATAACTGCAAATTAGCGTTACATCTAGGAACTTCAATTATGCCCTTCTCAAATTCACGGTCAAAATTTGGTTTTTAATGCACTGCTAACATAACAAGCCCAGAGAATATCTAATTGTCACTCCAATTATCATCATCGTCTCCATCATCACTTCCAACAGCCTGAATAATCGACAAATGACAAGGTGAGCAGTTTTAAGAGCAAAGGTAACTAGTGCATAAATGTTGTTTCTTTTTTCAGTTGTGGTTGGAGGGTGAGAGAAATGGACCTTACGGATTGCATTTGCCTTTTCCAGTATTGCAGTGACGTTGACATTGGCAGGGGGCCCTGATGACATAGTTGATTTTGTCGACACGGTAGGTCTTAGATTGGATGACTGGAAATCATACAATAAACGCAGAAGCACAGGTCAAAGCTTCAAAGAAAATTGTAAGTAAATAATGCAGTTACTATTTATGGGATCAAGGCACCAGTTCTTCCTTGTAGTTATGTCAGTTATATGCTTATGATTATAGCTAAATTTATGCTACGTACACCGGACTACAAGGTCGATAAATGGAAACAAAGGTAGTAGATGTAGAAGAATTTAGAATGAGAATCAGAACTTAATGGAAACAAAACCACATAGCATAAGAAGTTTGTGCACCCTGAGAGTTTCTTAGGATAATGTTTTGCTTTATGTACAAAATAATTGATGGAAATGGTAGAAAAATCCTTATTTATGACAAAATATAGTACATTACTAAGGAAAACTACATGGACAACTAGCAAAGCAAGAATGCAACTACAACATTCTAGATTATCTCTATCTAGTACTAGTATTTAAGAAGTTCTATATTAATTGGTTGATTTCTAGTGTACTTGCCCAACAAAATATATATATAACTCGTGTCAGTGATCAGTCAATGGTGACTCACTTTTGTTCTAATCTGGTGCAGAAAATCCTCCTGTTCATCCATGCTCTTAATGCATTCAGCCTGATTAGTTTCTTTTCGTCTGTTCTTCTTCTGCAAGTCTGATTGCCAAACCTATAAATAGTATAAACTATTAGAACTTTTGTGTATGTGGTACAGGCATGCAGCTTTAATGAATTAAGACAAAAGCATAACTCAAAATAGGAAATTTGTGATACCATACCTTGTTTTTTTGCAACTCTGTGCTTGCCGTAATTTGATTTTGCTCAAGGGGATCTGGCTTAGGTAGCTGAGAAATTGTAGATGCTGAAAGTACAAGGTTAACTGCATAGTTAGGGGCCTTAGGGCCTTCAGACATCGCATTGGGCCAATCATCCGTAAATGAGTGATTTAGAGTGTCCAAACTAGGAAGATTGAATGAATGGCGAGATTGAAGTCCACTGCTGTCATAGATCTCTCCATGATTTGTCCTCTCGTTTTCCATAATTGTTGAAACGCAATCTGTCAATGAGATTCTACGTAATGCATCATATACATCATGGTCCTTGTTACTGGGACAATCATTTGATTCCCACTGCTCAGAATCTGACTCCGATTGATTGCTATGACAACCATCTGATACAGAAGGTGATGATCTATAGAATGTCTGATCATCCGAGTCTGAAGCAACATTGTGCCATGCAATGGATGCCTCTGGGACCAACTGAAATGAAGGAAAAATATCTCTGCTGTTTTCAGGATTACCATTGCCATCTGGAAATTTCAATTTCAGCTTGGATGTCTCAAAGTCCTGAATTGGATGGAAAAATATCTTCATGTGCTCAAGAGGTGGTGATGAAGAAGGCGACATAAAAGGAGATCCAGCTCCAAACAAATCTTTAGACGATGTTTGATGTGCAACACTTATATTATTGTTCTGCTTGAAAACTTTGGCATTCACGTTGTTGATCGGACCATGGTTTTTGTACACCTCAAGTGAGAGTCTTTTGTTAGATCCATTGGTGAGTCTGTCGCCAAGTTCAAAGATCCGAGATGAACTTCTGTTACTCTCCTGGTGGTCTTTGGCCCTTTGGACGTCCAATTTGACAGCTGGAATATTAACATAATTTGGATGAGTTGAATCACTAGATTTTTCAAGTTTGACACTTAAATCCATAGGTGAATATTTCCAAGCTTCCTTCCTAAGTGAGAGCCCATCTTCTCGGTAACCTTGGCATGAAGTAGAGCAATCCACATCCATACCTTGTTCCATCTTCTCAGAATTCCCGATTTGATCAGGTTTAGCTGCATCTTTACCACTACTGAGAAGGCTGCTCTGACTAAAAGTACTAACTTTTCCGTCTTCGCCATTCATGGGACCCTTAGGGATAGCATTTAGGACACTGCAATCAGGAGGCTTTGATGGCTCAAGTCCTAACAAGCCACCATTTGTCCAGAACATTACTGAAGCAATGCTGGAAGTTTCTGGTGCTGGTACTTGAGACTTGGGACTGCTTGTTGTCCTACTAGTAATTGGCATCCTTGACATATCCTCGACCAAGTCTGACGATGATACTTTGCCCAAGACGTATTCTACTTTTACCCCAACATCAACATTATCCTTTTCATGAGAATCAACACCTTGCAGACCGCCTGGATTCAATAACTCACTACCCTTTTGAGTTGACTGTAAATGAGTATTGTGCTCGAAGGAGACCGGGTTGAATTTATCTTTTGCTGCTTCTCGGTCAGTAAAACAGTAAGATGAAGAAGCATTATTGGGAGACATTGAAATGGGATCGCAACCATCACTACCCGAAATGGGATCACGTCCGTCAATACCATTTACAAGAGAACTGTTGGCCAAAATGTCAGATTCAAAATTTGATGAACGAAATTCAGAATGATGTGTCCTAAACCCACATGATATGTCAACTACTGCTTTGTCCTCCAATTTAGAGTAATGCTGTACTTCATGCTTCGTTGCGCAGTCTTTATCCGTTTCAGACTCAGACTCAATGGTATGAAGAGCATCCATGAAATGGTCTGTTTCACTTTCAATGTCATCAAGCTGGTTTTCACCAGAGTCCAGCACTGTCACAGTTTCGTTACAAGGATGAACATCCATTTGGTCAACATTTTCAAAATTATCAGGTTTATAACCTTGAATTTCTGGCTCAAAATTTGGGGAAAATAATCCTAAATTTCCATCATGATCATAATCTGTGGTAGGTTCCAGTATCTCTTCCTTTTCATCCCAAGCAACTGAAGATGAAGAATGTCCAGTTTGCTCTATTGATAAATTATTCTGTGTATCATCATATGCACCTGAATCTTTTTCCTTAAAAAAATTAAAACCTGGGGAATCTCTGAGTTGCCTCTTTGATGAAGAAGATGATTCTGTAAACATGTGCATTTCTAGTTCAAAATTTGGGGGAAACGATCCTAAGTTTCCATATAGATCATGCTCTACTACGGGCTCCAGCATTTCTTCCTTTTCATCCCAAGTAACAGAAGATGAAGGACAACCAATTTGTTCAAGTGATAAATTATTGGGACTATCATGATGTACATCTGAACCTTTTTTCTCTAGAAAACTGCAATCTGGGGAAGCACTGCGTTGCCCGTTTGATGGTGAAGACAATTCTTTACATTCTTGCTCATCGGGTTTTTTTAAGTAACTTGGACTAACAACACATTCCACGAAGCCTAATTTATTTCTTGAATCTATATTTGATTGCTCCACAAAATCTGACCCAAATGTCTCATCATATGTGGTCACTGTTTGAGAAGCAGAAACTTGTTCATCAACATTCAGTTTTGTGAACTGCATTCTGAAATGTTCAAACATTCACAAACTTAATCCTTGTCAACCTAACATCAGAAGTTTTCATATTAAACTATCCAAGTCATAGACTAGTCCCATATTTACACCACCTATTTCCTAGTTCATTTATCTCTTTTCCTGTTTTTGCTTCAGAATTTAAACAAAAGGCAAGTACCTGCCAGTGTGATTGGGAATTGACGCATCTTGTGATACTTTTCCATTCATGAGCCATGAGCTCCTTCTCTGCTCAATATTTTGGCATGTATTAGTACTTTAAAGTGAGAGGCTACGTAGGGAGGGGAAAAAAAAAAGAAAGAAAAATCTCACGACACATGTTAGCACAATGAGGATGAACATTACAGTGTAATCTTTTGGATGTTTTTCTATAGTTTCTTTTGGCACAGTCAGATTATTAACAAACTAATCCAAAAATTGCTTTGTTTTAAAAGGCTTACCAATAATCAGAGAAATTCAAGAGCCAAATTCATTAACAGGAAAAAGGACCAAGCATGAGAAGCAATTCAGGTTAACATAAAGGGATGAATCAAAACTTCATCTGATTACGCTCAGTAATCACAGAGTATTATCATTTCTGAAATGGAAAAATGATCTAGCAGCAATCAGCTGTAAAGCTGTCCATCTCACTAAGAAAACAACCTGACAAGTAGGTTCCTAGAGAATTTGAAATACTTCTTGTAGCACCTATAAATGAGAACTAAAGAAATAATGTTATTTATGCACTTCTTGAAAAAAAAAAAGAAAAAAGAAAAAGAGTATATAATCACTTGGCTAGATCTTTATATTTGATGAAACCCCACATTCACGCATACTTTTCTTCCATTTACTCTTCATTAAATATCAAGGAGACAAAAATAAAAGATTTTTTCCTTAACACTACAAAAATATCTTTTAATCTATTTCATAACTGCATGAATGCAAATATATCTTTTATGCAGTTTCACACTTTCCAGATGATTTGACCCAAAATGATTTCATGGCTATTGTTACTCCACTGCCCTTTTGCAAATGCAGTTCAGGCCTCTCTAGAACAGCTTGATGCATGGAAAGGAAAGATGATTTAACTAGTGCCTTTAAGAGTTATCCAGCACATAGAGATCTCTTGCTCTTGTAACAAGTTTCGCAGTAAGTTTAAGTTTCTGCATTGGTTTTAGATGCAATACCTCAGTCCGGCGTACCTTCTTATCTTTCCGAATTTTCTTACTACATGCCTCACCATAACCTGCTGATGCTCTCTTAAAGAAAGTAGGATCTGAATACCTTCTCAAGCAAGAACCAGGACCACCAGGGTCAAACCTATAAAAAGCTCAGACTTTTAATGGTAGTCAACAAAAAGAATCCGGATATATACTTGAAGACTTGGCCATACTTATCAAGCAATTGCAAACGTGGAGGACTGCGACAGTCTTCGTAAGAATCCATAATAAATTGAGGCGTATCACCATACACAAAATGATTTTTTCCACACCGGATACAAGCATGCCAATTGCAACCTGCAATCAACTTTTATCATAAGGAAGTTGATAAGTCGGAAGAATAATATTGCATCAAGGGTAACAACTCTTAATTTGAAGGTCCAGACAAAGTTTTGTCTGGTAATGTAATTTCTACAATCACTGTACTGGAACTAGGAATGGAGAAAGGTTGTTGGTGTGTAAATGTCAAAGCAAGGCAATTAACCATACCAGCTGTATAAGCAAGGTGTAAGTGGCTCCTCTGGCCCAGTACAGCCTTCTCAAGTGGAGGAAGTGCTTTATCAATTTGTTGTACACGACCCATCAACTTACAGCTTCTGGAAGATGTGATCATCACTTCTTCCTGTAATTCATGGAAAACCTCTGCTGCAAATCTATCAGACAATAATGCTATTTCAGTTTTGATATTGTAACATTGTTTGAAAATCTTGATTACTGAAGAGTGAAGACCATTGTCCATAGCCAACAGAATCCTGATAGAAGTAGCATTGTAGAACACATCTTATTTCTGTAAGTCTGGATTTTTCTGCGGGATAATTGTGATTATGTTTTCTTTCAGAGCAGACATGCATTTTATACAGTAAGATACAGCTTTTGCCTGATTATGATAACCTGACCTTAGATTGATCGCCAAAGAGAAACTTATAAATAAACACAAATAAACCAAATATAAAAAAGCATAGGACACATAAGTGAAATGATATATTATAGGTAAATCAACAACAACCGTTTTCTATAGACATTTTTTTTTTAATCAGAGAGTCACAATTAAACAATAGTACGGACGCAGATAAATACGGAATTACGAATGCATATTCCGCAAGAATTAAAAATTGGGTGCATATCCAATATTTTAATAACTATTCCTCAACAACAAAGTTTACATTGAAAACAAAAGCCCCTATTTAAAACAAGAAAAACATGGAAACTTAAAAAGAAGCTAGTGACTACTTTGCCCTCAGTTAATAAATATAACAAGATAAATAACATCAATAAAACTAAATCTACGTTTGGAAAAATTTATAAATCATTTATAAATGATCAAACTTCATTTTTAACCGTACATTTCAATAGATCCAAAAGTACTATCCACTCCACCATTCATTTCTATCTACTTATGATCTAATTTATAAATTCTTCCCAAACAAAACGTAATTAAGAGTTCCTCTCAACTTCACAATTTGCATACAACAGCACCAAGTAGAAATGTAGTTGAAGATAAGGCAATTTCAACACCAGAAGATCTAGAAAATCTGCATTACATAGACTGGAGGTGTAACACATTACCAACATAAACGAAATGTAAGTTCACTTTACCAGTTCACAATTTAAAAACTAATTCTTTTTTTTTTCTTTTTTTTTTTATATCTCAAATTCAGATAAGATTATGGCAACATAAGAAAAACAGCCCATCACACGATACTATTTTCATCTAATGCATAAAAAGATACTGAATTCAGACCGTATTTGCCTCAAACTGCACTTATCATGACCTAAGTCTTCAAAGAATTTTCATATCGTTGTTAAGTGGCTAAAGTTTTTCATAGTTTGCATTATTTTACTGGAACATGACAAATATAGAATATGGACAATAATCAATTTTAACAGACTTCAGCAGAAACAACACACATTCAAACATTGAAAAGGAAATTACACAGAAGTAGTTAAAACACTGAATTTTCCAAATTAAAAAAAATGCAAATAAGAAGCAACAAACCACTAAAAAAACTTCATATAAATGAACAAAGGAACAAACCACAAAATTCCCAAATTGAGCACCAAACTACACAATAAAAAAACAACAAACCACTAAAAAAAACTTCATATATCGATAACAAAATTGAATTTTGGAAAAAAACGAACATACTCAGCGAGATCGCCGAGCTGACGTAAAATTCCGACGAGGCCGGCAACAGCAACTCCATCCAGCACTGCCTTCGGATCCTCATTATTGGCATTTTCGTGCATATCCAGTGCTCCAAGTCCGTACTCATTCCTGACTTCCACTCTAACCAAAGGCATCGTTCCTTCATACAAATGCAAACTCCCTTTCTCTCACACACACTACGCTCACAGAAGAAAGAAGAACTCTGAGAGACGCTAAATAAATGAAATGGGAAATAAATTCAATGAATGAATTAATTAAAAGCAATAGAGAGTAAAGCAGAGAATTTCAGCTCCTTAAATGACAAGAGAGTGATTCATAGAGAGAGGTTGATATATATATGTGTGTGTGTGTGTGTAGAGAGAGAGAGAGAGAGAGAGAGAAGTTTTGTTTTTATATATTGGGCAAACGGAAGAAGACATTGCCAACTCTGCAAGCCATTCCTGAGAGTGCATTTGGGTATTTTTCGTGTTAGTCATCTAATTTTAATTTATATCAATCTGATCATATAGTTTAAATTTTTATTCAATTTAACCATTATGTCTAATACAGGGATCAAAGCTGGCAGTAATGCAACCTAATTTTGACACTATCGACCTTGTTAAAAAATTGAATCAAAATGAGTGCGACTCAATTAACGATGTGTCGTGCCCGATTAACTAATCAGATGACCTATGTGTGGATAGTGATGACCCAATGGGCATGATTGTGAGAAAAAAGAAAAACAAGAATTGATTTTAAACACACACTTTATGGGAACAATAATATTTATCAAAATATACTAAAAATATTATTCATAGCAGTTAACAATAACAAAAAGAAATTAAATGATACAATTTTAAAATGAACAGTAGTATAGACTTACATTAAACAGCGTACAAGGACTCATTGTCCGATTGTAGAGGCGGTGCCCACGGAAGCTTGAAGTTGTTGGCGCGTACTCATGAGACCTCAGTCCAACCGGTGGTGGTACAATCTATTTTCCTGTTCCAATTCACACATATGGACGGCTTCAATAGCGTACAAGGACTCATTGTCCGATTGTAGAGGCGGTGCCCACGGAAGCTTGAAGTTGTTGGCGCGTACTCATGAGACCTCAGTCCAACCGGTGGTGGTACAATCTATTTTCCTGTTCCAATTCACACATATGGACGGCTTCAATAATCAGTTCAATAAATTGCTTCTCTCGTCCCATTTCCAGAATTTTAATCGGTATTGTCAGCCGCAAATTCAATGCATAGCAAGCAGTAAAATCTGATGACAAGCTGATGATTGTGTATTGGATATTATAAGTGTGGTGTCGCAGCAGTTTAAGCAGACATAAAGAAAGAGGCTCGAACTGGAAAATGTTTGGAGTTATGGGTTGTGTCCAATTGATGGTGAGGTTCTGCCGGTGGCGACGGGTGAGGCGGGAGCGACAGTAGGAGCGGCAACGGTGCCTGGAAAGAGATGAAGTTGGAGACCGGGTGTGCTGTTGTCGAAGTGGCAGAGAGGTGTTAGTAGCGGCGAGTGAGAGATGCACCGCTGATGTCGGTGGTGCTGGAGAGTGGTGTCGTCGGCGTGGGGGAGGGACGTTGGTGGGAGTAGCTAATGGGTCCGGTTGACGACGTACAGGCACGGGGACGCTTAATATTGTCGAGTGATTAGGTGTTGGCGGAGATGAGGGTTATGGTGTGGGCCAGGTAATGGCTATGTTGAAATGGGTTGAGTGATAATATAAGATTGGGCATTGATTATATGGGTTTTGGAGTTATCGGGCTACGTGGGTTTGGGCTGTGTGGGTTATGATTTAGGGAGTCAGGAGTGTCTGGGGGTATATATGGGTTGTTCTAGGGTTTGGATTAGCGAGAATTGGGCTGGTTTTATATGTGAGCCGATCGTAAGTAGGTTTGAGTGTTAGGGTTGGACTTTGTGAAAGAAATAGCACTGCAATTTATCTAGCAGCAACAACAAACAATTTTCTTCTAGAAACTGATGAAAAGACTAAACTAAAATTTTCGAACGTGAATAGTACACGTGAACAGTAACCTTTTTTTCCCCACAAAGAAAGAAAACTGAAAAAAATGAAAAATGTTGTTCTTACGCTAAATCCTTTTCACTTGTGCTATTCTAACAAATTTTGGATAGAAGGCAAGAAGAAATTTTGGATCGTAGATTAAGCTTATCCAAGTTTTGACTTTGATATCAAATTTGATGCAGGACCAACTGGATAATTAATGAAGAACAAAATAGATCTATGAAGAAGATGGAACTAAGGAAAGAACGGTATAAGAGGAAGAGTCAATAGAAGAAGTAGAAGAAGGTAGAAAAGAGAGAAATTTCATCACAAGCCACCAAAATAATTTAGTTATTTATTAACTGTCTCAATAACATGACAAACTAGGTTGAAATATCAAAACAAAATCCTAAAGAGAAAGGCCAAGCCCATTATAAAATTTCACTAACATAAATAATAGTCCAACTAAAATAAACAAAATAAATAAGAGTCCAAATAAAATAAAACAACTATAAGTGGATGTCCTCATCACTTCCACGACTAAGAGAGAAAAAGGGAGGACACTTGGAAAATGAGATGAAGAAGAGATAAGCTGATACTTCTTAGGAAATTACTCGTAGCATTATTTCTTAATTTTTCTAATATGAAATATATACAGTATTAGAAATAGCTATAGCAAGCATTCTGAAGGTATGGGATTACAACAATTGTCTTACATATATGTCTGTCCTCTCTTCTTTTAACTCCCAAACCAAAAGCAAAAATTACTTAGACGATGGCTCAACTTCTCGTTTGGGCCGATTGCGGGTGCGTGGTGCTGCAGGTTCATTTTCTAAAGGAATGTTAACTTCATCCTCATCCTCCTTTGCTTCTAGTATAGCTTGGTTTATTGCAACCTGGTTCATCACACAACTGAAGTTATGCACCATCTTATCTTCAAACATGAATCAAGTACTTTGAATACACACAAGCCTATAATGATACCTGACACAATTTTTCTTCAGGAAAAAAAGAAACAAAAGATGAAGGATAAACACTGCTCCAGATCTTGAGAAATGATTGAACAGCAAATATCACAATTTGTAGTGATATTTAACAAATCAAGTTATGGCCATTGAAATTCAGATATTGCTAGTGATAAAACAGAACCGCCTGGTGAGTTAGCAACTAGCAATTACTAAAATTCCAAAACCATTCATATATAAAACTTAAAATTCAGTTGAAAAATTAACAATGTAAGAGATAAAACAGGACAGCACTTTGAGCATTTTAGAATGATACTTGGACACTACTTGAGAAACTATAAACTTAGTTTATTTAAGAATTTGCATGTCACATATAACCACGTTGGACTGCAAAAATCATTTCAGCTACCTCATGCATATTCAGTTTTTCTTTTTCCCCCACTACTACACATTGGAGGATGCTGAGAATCCAAAGAGGTGCTTCGCTTATAGTATATAACGGATAAAAACTTTTCACTTCTAGTAACAGAAATTGTAATATTGAACTACCAAGCATCTGCATTCCATTAATTCAAGGAAATGTCTTTGGTTACTCATGGACAGGCTGGAAGCAAGCAATGTAGAAATTATATACGAGTTTTTCTTAACAGATCCTATCTCCTTAGGAAAAAGTTATGAATAATTACAGGAAAAAAATTTCACTCATATCTTTTAATAAAGACTTTTTGACTGTGCCCAGGGATAATATATGAATACACAAAAACTTTTTTCTTGAGCATAGCATCTCTCCATTTACATATACTTTTCTTCTTCATTCCTTAATCAATACTGCTCTGAGATGCTTCCTGAGATAAGTGCAACTAGCCCACACATTTTTCGCTCTTTCTATGAGAATATAAAGGGTGAGACAACAGTCTATATTCCTTGAAATTTTCCCATAGCTTGCACCTCTCTAGCCCTAAGACTTCATTGTGACCAGTCTTGTAGGTCAAGCCAGCAGGTTGTCTTACGAATCAGTTGCAAGCTTTGGCATCCTTGAAGAATTGAAGGAGACAACCTAAGAGATCCGAGCTTTAGCGAAGTTATCAGTAAATATTTGAATTTGGCCTCAGGCTTGAGTTTCAAAGTTCTAATAAAGGACATCTTAGTTACGTTGTGACATGGCCTTGCATTAGCAATCAAGAAGTTTAGGCTTCTATTAGAGTTGACCCACAGCAATAGCATGCTAGGCTGACATGTGGGATCTCTTCATCGAAGTGAAAATGACATAAGTTCAAACTCAAATAGGAAGCCTCAAGTTAAGATCCTCATGCAGGGGTACAGAGTTTTATTTTTGATGCACATCTAAAAGGAGAACTGTAAAAACGGTGCCAATAGACTATTTTATTTAGGGAAGTTGAAACTTCTCAAGCCTTCATGACGTTAGCACATTGTGGACAGTGTCTGGGTAAGCATTGGCCCCATGATAAACGTGCAAGGAGACTTCAGCAAGATTATTGAAGTCATGCATAAAGTGTTTCTGTGAGGTCATACTTACAATAGGAGTTTCTGGGAACTGCTAATTGTGAATTTCAAGAGATATTGAGAAATTTCTTACTAAGTTCTGGATCTTTGAAGTTCATTTACTTGAGAAATTATTGCTTGAGGTGTGATGCAGTAGCATTTTCATAATTTCAAATTATTGTGAGGGAAATATTCACTTGTTGACAATCTGGTGGAGTTGAGATTTTGAAGAGCTGACACTGAGGATGAGATCTTGGTTTGCTATTTTAGGGAAGGCATGTTTACAAGTATCAGTCATTCCCCATCATACTACAGGGTAGCCTTTGGATCCTTTTGAACTAAGCAAGCAACAATCTTAGAATCCTGGGGTAAGGGGTCCCTTACGGTAGACTTTTGGGATCTCAAAGAACCTCTAGAGTTCCCCATGCAAGTTTGTATTTGCATGCAGCATTGGAACCGCGGCAGACATTAGGCATTGATTTTGGGCAAAAGCTACATAATAGGAACCACTATGCTCCATGGGATATCATCTTGCTATAGGCCAAATAAGCTATTGTAACAAGCATACCAAGAGCCTTGTGTGTCAACTTGTCTGCATTGGCTGCTATGGGTTCTAGCCTTGCTGCCTTCATGCAAAGAGGTCAAATAGAAGGCAAGTATTGGCAAGATGCCAACGTGAAACAAACCGTGTAGTATGATCATAGTTTGATGGTACTTCAAGAAAGAATTGGATTTACATGTGATCCTACTAAACGGCACTAACTTGATGACCACAAGGATAGTTTCTCCCTTACCACCAAATATTCATGGAATGAACCATGTGTTGAGGGAAAACGTGGGAAATAATCTACTCAAGATCACCGACAAAGAAACGAAATGATGTGGGAGTGGGAATCACGACAAATGTGAGTAATGCGGATCAGAAAGTATGTTGGCACCAGGTGCAACATGGTGACACATTGAGTATTCATGCTAATAACCTTCATGGCCTCAAACTTGCAATTGGTCATCAATAAGATTCAAAGATACATTTAAACCGAGCCAAAGAATCTATCATCACATATTCAGTTAATCCAAGAAAACATGACAGTAAAGGAAGGGTAATGTTACTAGAATGAATGGAGATGTGTGTTGAAAGAGAACTTCCCCTCCTTATCTAGAGAAACCCGTGACCCATGACTTATTATTTCTTAATAGGAGAGAAAGGTTGGACTTTGGGAACGAAGACTTTGAGGCATCAAATGGGTGAAAAATAGACCAGTGACACAAGACCTTGACTTCCATCCAGTGTGAGTAAACTATATACTGTCAGAAGTCTGTACACATAAGTTGAGTTCATTTTTTGCTATTAACAGCTACCGATGTAAGCAGCCACTAATTGTGGATCTACCCCTCTCCTTGTGCCAATAGTGTCGTAATTGTTTATCCTACTCTTCTACTTGCACAACCTCCCGATATTATCCCTTCAAGCATTATCTTTCCCCATATGAGCAGCCGTCAAATACGGCTCTGCCCACCTGTCCTTGAATCAATAGCATCACAATTTTGTATCCTACTCTACTACTAGCACAACCTCCTGATATCGTCTATTCGAGCATTATCTTTCTCATCATTTCAATGCACTAAGGCCATCTCACCACTTCTCTTGTCCCGCTTTCATGACACGAACGAATTATAATCTCGCAAGAAAAGAAAGATGCGGCATTTTTACACTAGTAAATACATGTTATCATAAAATTACCATTTGTTATGCAAAAATTTAAAATTTCCAGATATGGCCTTAACGTTCAGGGGCAGACCTGGGGGGGGGGGTTTATAGGGGCAATTGACCCCCTAGATTTTGGGGAAAAAAAAATTATTGCTTAGCTTTTTTTTTTTTTTTTCCCTTAATTTTTTTTATTAGAAGATACCTGTAAATTTTATTTTTGCCCCCTTAAGCCAAGTCGTCTGGGTCCGCCCCTGTTAACGTTGCACAATTATAACTAACACCAAAAGTTCTAACAGGAACCAAAATATGACAGCCTCAAAAAAACCTAACATAAAAGAGAGTGAAAGAAACCCATGAACAATCCTTCAGCGTGATTACAAGTAAACAAACAAGCATCTCGAAAAACCAATGAAAACCCATTAATAATTCTATCTATTACACATAAACGCGAACATCAAGAATATGTAAGAATTTGCTTACCTCTTCCAGGAACTTCTGGTCGAGCTTGTCAACAATTCTCATAGAAGTGACGACGGTGACGGCCAAGAGAGAGATGGGCAAGACAAAGGCGAAGATGTAGCTGCTGGTGCTGGGTCCCGCCCGTGGAACCACCGAAATTCTTCTTCTGCTGCTAGTATTCCGGTAACGACCTTTGAGATTTTGGGCAGTGGAATGGACGTTGAGCGATAAGGTCAGTGGTAGCCGCGTTGTGTCGTAATTGTGAGTGAAATGGAGTCGTGTGGAACACGAGACCGGGCGGTACGAAGCCATACTCATCGTTAGAAAGTGACCTGCTCCTCAAATCCTCAGCTGGGCAGTTATATCGTTAAAAGATTTCAATTTTATTTATTTATTTATTTATTTATTTATTTATTATTATTATTTATTTTTTTTTAAGCAAATAAAGTAAGCCCTCTTTAGGTTTCCCCATTAAATTATGATTTTCCCCTCTCTTATCAATCACCCTTTTTTTAATAAAATAATATTACAAATAAATTTAATTTTTTTCTTTTTTAACCACACATTCTCCAAACGGACACTATATTTTTTATAGGAAAAAAGACTCGAATCATGAATTTTTAATAAAAACAAGCAAGTGAGAAATTATCTAACACAAATATTTTTTTTTTATTGTAAAGATGGAATTTGGGTGGAAAGAATACGAATTTCAGGGGATTGAATTGTCTAGAACTTGTTTTCTTGAGAATTGTCATTTAACATGTTTGATTGGTATAATTTTCCACCTGAAAAAGTTGAAATTTTCTATATTTTAGTATTTTTTTGACTTTATTTTTTATAAAAATTTTCAATTAAAGAGACAAAATTTGTTACAATGGAAAATAAAAATTGTTCCAATTATCCAAAAAAATTTAAAAGAAAAAAGACAGCTAGAAAACCAATTCTCACCAAATTGATTTTCCACAAAACCATGGAAATGGTACATATGTGAAGGAAAGTTGGGAAACAAATTCCATGAAAATTTCTTGCAATCAAAAATGGTGGAAAATGGAATTTGAATTCCACTTTCCAGGGGAAAAGGGCCAATCAAACGGGCCCTTAATATTTAAGCATGTTAAAGGATTTTCAACAATGCTCTTTCATCTCTTTTATTATATACATAAAGATTTATCATAATGAGAGCATCTTCAAGAATAATTAAAAGTAAAGAGTGTTGAATTTATTTTTATTTAACGTAAAGTCCAATATTTCTATGAATATTTCATCATTAGCTTGATTTTGTAATAAAAAATTATGATTCACTATTTTTCCTCATGTTTTCTTTGCACAAAACATTCCTACGTTTGGTTTTTAGTAGCAAAACATCTATACATTTCAAATTTTTGTATTTTTATCCTTATTTTCACGTTTCATTATGAAAAACATCATTTTCCTTAATTTTTATCCAATTTCTCAATAAAAATATCCTCCTATTTAAATAAAACAAAAAGAAAAATAAAGAACTAATTGCTACCATACTTCCAAACCTTTTTAAAAAGTGCAAATGACTCCCAAATAAATTATTTAAAAAATTCAAAATAAAATAAATCTCTCTCTCTCCCTTCGTCCCCCTCCCTTCATCTACCTCCTCAACCACTACAAAACAATGAGTAACGACATATTCCAACAATTTCCCTATTTGCTGAAAAAATATAGACCCAAACATTGGCGAATCAATGGAACCGCCACCTTCAACCATCTCAAACTCCACCCTACCACCGCCTAGACCTCTGGAACCACCACTGGATACACCTCCATCCCTCCATCACATCCCACCCATCTGTTTGGCCTCATGCCACCACAAAACGACACCATCGCTACCAAAAACCCCTCACTCACGACCAAAACCAAGGCGATAACACCTTTGCCATTAGCCACCAACCAGTAATATCTAGTCTCCAAGGCGATCCATTTATGGTCTTTTAACATCAAAATAGGTTCTCAATCAAAATTTGTTGCCTTGAAACTGTCTCACTCTCTAAAATTGACAATCCAAAATTTGAAAAGATGAATCCAATGAATTGAGCTTCAATGAAATCTATCCGTCTAATTCAAATGTCGCATCAAAACAAAGGTCTCGCATCAATCGTCCGGAGTTCATCTCAGATAAACAATCGACTTTCCATCATGGTCGAGCCCTTAACGAGCTTCCTACGTTAGTAGCACTCATTCTTAATTGGAGCTCTGAGGCTCCCAAAGCTAAGGGGACCATCACACCCCTCCATTCCAAAATTTTAAGACATTGATATTCAGACTACTATAGGTAAATTTATGTGTTAACTTCTTTGTTTCAAAGATCACGTACTTTTTGGACAATATTTGATTTTTCTGTTTCTTTTACAGTACGAATTGACTTGGGTACCATTTCTTTGACAGTCCTCAAACATCAGAAAAAGTCCTCACCTTTCTCTCCTAAGAAATCGGTTCGTGGAGAGTCAAGAAGTTCCAAAATTATTCCTTTCCGTATAGTTGAGGTTTTGACGAAGCAACCTCTATCGAAAGTTTTTGCTTTTGGGGCTTTGGAATCCTTTTATATGGAATCTGTACCTCCAATTTTGCGGGGCAGATTAGGGATATCAAAGGAAAAGGAAAAACCACATGTGAGTTTGAGTCAAGTGTGGATCTCAAAGTCTCCTATTTTCATAGGGGTATTACCCCAAGTTTTGAGTCTTTATTCATCCATTGCCGCAATGATGAATTGGATGCGAGGTTTTACCAGTGCTCCTTTCTTTTGTTCTTTAGACTGTAAATTCTTATATTCTTAATCAATCTTGGGAAAAGCTTTTGGAAGAGCAACAGTCGAATTACGAGGCCTGCATTTTGTAGACTGTGGTCTGAATAAAAAGTTTAGTTCTTTAAAGAAAATGTGTGATACTCTTCAAAAGAAACTAAGGAAGGCCAAAGGCGAGTGAGTTGAATATAAAAAAAAAAAAAAGAGTAAAGGTGCAGAAGCTTTTACTGCAAGTGAGGTTTTCTTCGTTACTGAAACCAAAAAGATCTCTTCGTATCTGGACTTAACTAAGGAAGATCATGCAACTTATGTCCCTAGGACTGAACGAGATGTTTCATGGTTTTAGAGGGAATTTTAATCAACTGAGTCTCGAGATGCTGCTTTTAAGGAATTCGATGATGTCAGAAATGAAAGTTTCTCTTCGTAATAAATTGGAGAATAATGAGACAAGATTATCTATTGCAGAATCCAACTCTCTATGACAACTGCGCGTAAAGCACGACTGATTGAGGATGCTGTGCAGGAAGGGAAAATAGAATGCTTGACATTATTAGAAGTTTTCATCCTGAGTGAAATACAGACTTTTTGGAGGCTCATGAAGATGATGTCAATGATACCCTATCTTCTGAGGTTCATCCACGCCTTTGGGGCTCTGAATACTCTATATCAATTTCTGTCGATCATCCTCAATCTACTAATTTCCAAGCTATCTCTTAAAGTGGAATTGTGGCTATTATTGAGCCATTTGATGCTTCTACTCCCACTCCTTTAGAAGTGACAATGTCCTCAGGGGTCAAAGTTAAAGTTAACCAAGATGATCCGGCTTTCGCGATACCTTTAGCCCTTGGTTAATATGGAAGGATAGCTTATTTTTTATCTCATCGTCTACTGATACAAACTTCATTCCCTTTCTGTAAAAAAAAAAAAAAAAAAAAAAAAAAACCTCTTTATAAAAATTTGTTAGTAAAATTTTATTACTCTTTTGCACAAACTTGCTTATTTGGCGACCTATTTAGGCTCGTACTACTTTACGCATTTGATATTTCATTTCACATTTAGACTCAGCTTCGCGTAAAATGCATTTACAACAATGGTTTATCAGCAATATAATTCGTGAAATATGACATTTTATTAACTGTTCTTTAGTAACAAAATAAAGGACGAAGGATTATTATCCTGCCCTTTGCCATGGCTTCTCACTCCATTAATATTTCGCGCACGATTACAATTTGTCATGGTATTAATTATAGAAGTATGTAGAAATGGTCTTACTCATAATGATAAGTTTCCCTAGGGTCACAATCAGTCCTCGTATTTCTTTGACTGAACAAACCTCGTCTTTTGATTTCAGAATTTCATTTGGTGGGACAGGCCACGTCTTCAATGTCATAGTTTCATTTGGAGAGACAGGCCTCGTTTTCGATTTCATAGTTTCATTTGGAGGGATAGGCCTCACCTAAATTTAACTTTGCAATTGGCAAAAAGAGGCTCACCCTTTATCGACAGTATTCATTCTTGCGACCTTGTTGTAAGGTCTAGCCATTTTCGATCATTTTGTCGCTTATACTTCCCTGAGTACTTGTGAAGTTATCCTTACTGGTAGGTATGTTTTTCACCTTACCTTTTACGGCATCGAATACTTGCTTTTCTAAATAAGGTTTTTCAAGCATATGTTTCTTTCCTTCGATTATTCTATCTCATTTCCCAGCTTTATTACTAGGATGATTTGTTTTTCCCTGAAAACCAAATCCTTTTTATTTTAGCAAAATAATATGACATATTCCGCCATGGTGCCCTAGGGCGATGACCCTGCATTATTATCAAATATAATTGAAATAGATGCAGTTTTCAAGATTACCTTAGATCCATAATTTTTTAATACGGATTCTTTAGATATTTTGGAGTATGTTTTTTAATGCGATAGACTTTGTAGAAGTTCATCTTCCGTCCTCTAAGGGGTAGGTATGCTTTGCTTGTGCCTTGAAAGGGTACTGGGGAGAATGTACTCCTTTTGTCCTTGGGCCCATCCAAGCGATGATATTGCTATCTAGGCCATCAAGATGCGAACGTAGATTCTTATTTCCTGAATTATCCCTGGTGCCTTTTTTGTTTCTGCCTCCTTCGATTCATGAGTATACCATCTACTTGGAACTCATTGCGTATTAGATCTATTAACTGGTAAAAATATGTGGATACGTTTTGATGGCCTTTTGCCAAGCGATAGTCTTCTCCAACATGCCATTCCACAAAGCATCTCTCATCTCTTCATTTGGTATAACTTCATCAACAATCATTTCAACTTTAAAACATGTGAAGTAGCTCATGAAGGATTCTTCTCCTTACTTTATGTTATTCTATCTCGTGGTTGGTTGCCTCACCCTTAGTCCAGCTCGTGGAGTGGCAACCAACCATTGATTGATCCTGATGGTAGCTGGTACATCATATTCTTTTTTTATTTCATATTGCTCAGCTGCAAATTGGCCTTCAAATCCATTATATGTGTAAGAATTGATTTGCTGGATTTTGTGTATGGCCCAGCTGATTTAAATGGACTATGAAGTGTGGCCCAAACTTGGTGGGCAA